TATATGGTGTTATGGCGGTGTTGTATAAGGTGTTATGGCGGTGTTGTATGTGGTGTTATGGCGGTGTTGTATAAGGTGTTATGGCGGTGTTGTATGTGGTGTTATGGCGGTGTTGTATATGGTGTTATGGCGGTGTTGTATAAGGTGTTATGGCGGTGTTGTATGTGGTGTTATGGCGGTGTTGTATGTGGTGTTATGGCGGTGTTGTATAAGGTGTTATGGCGGTGTTGTATGTGGTGTTATGGCGGTGTTGTATGTGGTGTTATGGCTGTGTTGTATAAGGTGTTATGGCGGTGTTGTATAAGGTGTTATGGCGGTGTTGTATGTGGTGTTATGGCGGTGTTGTATGTGGTGTTATGGCGGTGTTGTATAAGGTGTTATGGCGGTGTTGTATGTGGTGTTATGGCGGTGTTGTATGTGGTGTTATGGCGGTGTTGTATAAGGTGTTATGGCGGTGTTGTATGTGGTGTTATGGCGGTGTTGTATGTGGTGTTATGGCGGTGTTGTATAAGGTGTTATGGCGGTGTTGTATGTGGTGTTATGGCGGTGTTGTATGTGGTGTTATGGCTGTGTTGTATAAGGTGTTATGGCGGTGTTGTATGTGGTGTTATGGCGGTGTTGTATGTGGTGTTATGGCGGTGTTGTATGTGGTGTTATGGCGGTGTTGTATGTGGTGTTATGGCGGTGTTGTATGTGGTGTTATGGCGGTGTTGTATATGGTGTTATGGCGGTGTTGTATATGGTGTTATGGCGGTGTTGTATATGGTGTTATGGCGGTGTGTCCACTCACAGGATGCCTGCCGCTGCCTAGTCAACTCTCCTCTCGGGGTAATTTTTTTGTTTTGTTTGTTTACGCAGATCTGCTCAAGTTTAAGTCTGTGACCTTCCCTGCCTATGTCGTCGGTCTGACTTACATGAATATACTAGAGGGGATTCCTGGCTACGCCCGTGTCTCTCTTTCCTCTCTCTCTCTCTCTCTCTCTCTCTCTCTCTCTCTCTCTCTCTCTCTCTCTCTCTCTCTCTCTCTCTCTCTCTCTCTCTCTCTCTCTCTCTCTCTCTCTCTCTCTCTCTCTCTCGCTCTCTCTCTCTCTCTCTCTCTCTCTCTCTCTCTCTCTCTCTCTCGCTCTCTCTCGCTCTCTCTCTCTCTCTCTCTCTCTCTCTCTCTCTCTCTCTCTCTCTCTCTCTCTCTCTCTCTCTCTCTCTCTCTCTCTCTCTCTCGCTCTCGCTCTCGCTCTCTCTCGCTCTCTCTCTCGCTCTCTCGCTCTCTCGCTCTCTCTCTCTCTCTCTCTCTCTCTCTCTCTCTCTCTCTCTCTCTCTCGCTCTCTCTCGCTCTCTCTCGCTCTCTCTCTCTCTCTCTCTCTCTCTCTCTCTCTCTCTCTCTCTCTCTCTCTCTCTCTCTCTCTCTCTCTCTCTCTCTCTCTCTCTCTCTCTCTCTCCCTCCCTCCCTCCCTCTCTCTCTCTCTCTCTCTCTCTCCCCTCCCTCCCTCCCTCCCTCCCTCCCTCCCTCCCTCTCTCTCTCTCTCTCTCTCTCTCTCTCTCTCTCTCTCTCTCTCTCTCTCTCTCTCTCTCTCTCTCCTTTCTGTAAGAAAAAATATAGCGATCTGAAACTCTCAAACTGCTAAATAAGTCTTCCGGCAACACAACCAACATTTTAGATTTTACTTCAGGAAAATGGCAAGTGGAGGAAGAGGGGGAGGGAGGTTAAATGCCGACATTTCTTGAAGTGTAACACACTGAAGCCGACCCTGAGTGACCTATGACACTCCCATACCCCACATGTTTCATATGTGAAAATTAGGTAACGCTAGGCCCAAGCGTCTAATCTACAGCCTTAGGGAGACAGACAGTCTTTCTCTTATACATATAAATGGTTTTCTATTATCGGGGACAGGAATGAAGTTAGGCTTATTGAGGCCCCGCCCCCCAGTAGCTGACCTTTCCGGGGATGCAATAGACAACAGGTGCCTAACTCCCAGGTACCTATGGCTGTTATTTGAACAAAATTATCAGATGCAATGACACGTGACCAAACGCCTTGTCCTGCAAGGAAATCGAACACTGGAACAATGGGCTGTGAGCCGAATGGCTAATCACTAAGCCGTAGGTCAGCAAAACTATAAGCCCACGTAACCTCAATTACATAACCTACTTACCGAAGTCAGTGTATGACTGATGTAACTCTGCCTCACCGCACATACACACACACACAGTTTTGACCGATTAATACGTTTAATTTGGCGGCCACACATAGGCTGCCACTATAGGATAAAATAAACTATATCTCATCCCTCCCTTATAATTTTATATTTGTTCCATCTTCGCCACGATTTTGGCTGTAACCCGTCCTCCGCATGTGGCTGCGGCTATGTCTGACTAGATGGCATACCTCTGTATGTGGAGAGCACAAACGTCCAGCAGACAGTGGGACACAGTGGCGGCCAACATCAGGTTGGGCTTCCGTTACCTGTAGCAGGTGGCTACTGGTGACGAATCTCCGAGCCATGAGCACTCCATATGTAAACTCTGTGAGGAAGAACTCTGGCATGATCTCAATGTCCAGTCATGAGACCCTTCAGACCTGCCGGTATGCAAGAACAGTACTTGGAGCTCTGCAGTGACTTTATTCACCTCGCGTTCTTGAGGATATCTTCATAATGCACCCAAAGTTGGCCGGAGCAGACTCACGCTCCAGTGTTGAGGTGCCAGGCGGAGGAGCGAGTGTCCTGGAGCCTTCGTCGCCTCACAAACCTCCTCCTCCCCCCCCCCCTCCCGGCTGGTCTCCACACGACACGAGGCTCCGCAGGCGATACATTACGTGCTAGCTAGTAGTCTCCACTATCATCCTGCTGACTTTCTACAAGATTATTTTGTCATGAATGGTAAATAAATAAATTTGTCGGGGACAGGCAGCCTGTGTATATATACATGTTAGGCTTATCTCGAAGTCCTCCCAAGGTGGAACTACTGACCCTCCCCAGGATGCTGCCCCTCAACACTAACTCGGAATTCCCGATTGTGAGTTGAAAACCAACTCAACTTTATTATGAAAACTCAGGACTGATTTCTGGGGCACTCAACTTGAGTTTACCCACTATGAGTATAACCTCCATGAGTATACCCGCCATGAGTGGCCAAACAATCTAACAACTCTCGCCATAATGTGCTGCTTGAGACCTACAAGGGGAGCATGACTCCCATACACTACTGACGCAGAAGCGACCATTGGCAGTGCACATTCTCGCTCATTTTCTCCGGCTTGTATAATGCACTTAATACTCTCGCGTGCACATAGAGACCTCACAATAAAATGATGTTATCAGTGAGAAAATCAGTAGGAGCCATAGAGAGGATTCGAATCCGCACACTGGGCTCTCCCAAATCAGATGAATCCCAGGTTGCATTGCTTTTAGCATGTCGAGGTTTAGCGGTCTAAGGCGTGTACCTGGGAATACCCAGTATGTGGGTTCGAATCCTCCTCGTTGCCCCCTACTGATTTTCTCAGTCTCTCGTATATTATCTCAAAGCATACATTAAGAAATCAGGAGATAATATTACGTTACATGAGAAATAAAATGTTGAGTAATATTGACACACCGCTCACCTGCCCTGCGGACCTCAGTGTGTAAGTGATGCCGATTGACAGCCAGATCAGCTGACAGTCCGATCAGCTGACAGCCAGTACACCTGACAGTCCGATCACCTGACAGCCAGATCACCTGACAGTCCGATCAGCTGACAGCCAGATCACCTGACAGTCCTATCAGCTGACAGTCCGATCAGCTGACAGCCAGATCACCTGACAGTCCGATCAGCTGACAGCCAGTACACCTGACAGTCCTATCAGCTGACAGCCAGATCACCTGACAGTCCGATCAGCTGACAGCCAGATCACCTGACAGTCCTATCAGCTGACAGCCAGTACACCTGACAGTCCGATCAGCTGACAGTCCGATCAGCTGACAGCCAGATCACCTGACAGTCCGATCAGCTGACAGCCAGATCACCTGACAGTCCGATCAGCTGATAGCCAGATTAGGTGACAGCCACATCAGCTGACAGCCAGATTAGCCGACAGCCAAATCAGCTGAACCCCAAGATGCTTCGTGACATTGCATTGAGCACTCAATACGGCTCGTGTATATCTTAAGTATAATGTATAAGAGTATATGAACACTCATGATGCATCACATGTGCTTTTGGTAATATATAACTTTGAATATTTGAAATAGGAAATATAACTGAAGTTAGAATGTGACCAATGAACCTGATTTTTCTAATGCGATGAGAGAGACATCGGTCCTGTGGTTTTCTGAGACCGAAATCTCAATACTCCTGAAAATTGGCTAAATAATGAGTACCTCTAAATCCTCATCCAAGTTCAATTTAGAAATAAAGTTAGGAAAATGCACAGTGTGGCTACAAGTATCACGGGCTCATCCCTAGAGTAAATATCACCTAACCGACTAGGAAGCTTGATTACCGTGCTACCATAGTTGTGATGCTGGGATAGCTGTGATGTCGCCATCTTCTTGAGGTTATCTTGAGATGATTTCGGGGCTTTAGTGTCCCCGCGGCCCGGTCCTAGACCAGGCCTCCACCCCCAGGAAGCAACCCGTGACAGCTGACTAACACCCAGGTACCTATTTTACTGGTAAGTAACAGGGGCATAGGGTGAAAGAAACTCTGCCCATTGTTTCTTGCCGGCGCCTGGGATCGAACCTGGGACCACAGGATCACAAGTCCAGCGTGCTGTCCGCTCGGTCAACCGGCTCCCATAACTGTTATGGTGACACACCTGAGACATTTACATAATTATAGCGGTGCCACAGCAAGGCCACCCCGGCAGCGCTCGCGTGCTGGCACCCTTGAGTCTGGGAATAAATGGAAGGGTCGAGTCAGGCATCCTCCGAAGGCTGGTCAATAAAGCAATGTTTGCGGAGGCGAGTGAGCGGCCGGTATATAAGAGCCGTGAGCCGAGGACAGACCATCCACAACCCATCATGAAGCTCCTGGTAAGTGGGTCCGCTCCTCCTCCTCCTCCTCTTTCTCACAATAACAAACTCTTTATCTTCAAAATACTACCACTGGTTTCACAATATTACCATTGGCTTCAAAATACTACAGATGACTTCAAAGTACTATAGTTACCTTTAGGATACTACCATTGACTTCTAAATACTCAAAATCCTGAGTCATTAACTTGATTGATTTAGTGATAATTATTAGCATGAAGCTGAAGCTGTGAGGTGTGGAGTCTGTCTAAGATGGTAGTACTTATAGTAACTATTTCCTTGAAAGCACCAATATGTAGTGACGGACCACCAGAAAGTACCAATATGTAGTGACGGACCACCAGAAAGTGCCAATATGTAGTGACGGACCACCAGAAAGTACCAATATGTAGTGACGGACCACCAGAAAGTACCAATATGTAGTGGCGGACCACCAGAAAGTACCAATATGTAGTGGCGGACCACCAGAAAGTACCAATATGTAGTGACGGACCACCAGAAAGTACCAATATGTAGTGACGGACCACCAGAAAGTACCAATATGTAGTGACGGACCACCAGAAAGTACCAATATGTAGTGACGGACCACCAGAAAGTACCAATATGTAGTGGCGGACCACCAGAAAGTTGACTTTTGTGTTTCTGAATGTGGACAAACCGGAAACTTTATTAACCGCAACATAAATACAAGACAATCTAACCTAACCTCTCCTAGCAGTCCTAGGCCTAATAAAATCAATCTTAGGCCTAATATAATACATTTATGTGCTCTACTAGGCTTAGAAATTTCTAAGTTTGGTTTTAGCTTAATTTTTCCGGACTATAAAATGAATAGCACAACAAGTGGTTTACTGGTGGTCCATCACTACATATTGGAGCTTTCCACCAAATAGTTACTGTGAGTACTATCATTTCAGGAGGACGGGTTGGTGTCACTGCAACTATATATAACTCTACATGTGACACGGAATGTTAATTATACACAGCATACATAGGGCACGGTATGGCAACAGTAAACAACACTCTTCTCAGGGTTCGAACCCGGGTCATAACATTTGCATGCGAGCGGGTGAGTGTTAACCACCACAGATAGATCGTAATGAATGAATATTTATTTGAAGCGCTATTTCAGTGGTAGCTCTGTTTCAGTGAGAGCGTTTAGTGGTGGCTCTATTTCAATGGTAACTATTTAATTGGTATTTTTATTTGAGGTAACAGCTATTTCGTCAGCAGCTCTATTTCAATGGTAGTTCAATTTCAATGGTAGCTCTAGTTCAGTGGTAGTTTTATTCCACTATTAGCTCTATTTCAGTAGTGAAATAGTTATATTTCAATAGTAGTTCTAGTTTAGTAGCTCTATTTCAGCGATAGCTCTATTTAGGTTGTATCTCTCTTCCAAAACATCATTCGTATCTTTGTTATATAAATAACACTTTTTTGGTATCAATGGGACATTGTGTATCTTGCTTGGTGTCTTTCTTCGTTATAGACCTATTATTTTTTAGAAATAAGCCAAAACAAATTGAAGACATGTGTTGTAATTTCAATACCTACTTATAAATATAGATCATGTGCACAGGTACCGATCTCTGTGCTGGTGGCTGCGGCCTACGCCTCTCCTCAGGGCTACACCCTTCAGTCTCCTTCGGGTCCAGGGTTCTCCACCGGTGGTTCGCGATTCTCAAGCGGCTCAGGACTTACCTCAGGCGGTTCTGGCTTCTCTGGAGGCGGCTGTGGTTCTGGGCAGCTTCGTCATGTGGACGGCAGCTGTGTGACTCCTCAAGTAACTCGAAACCTGTATGTATACAACGTGCCTCAAGCTACTCCCATCGTTGGTCCACGTCCAAACATTCCTCCACCGCGAGTTGAGCACAACATTGTGTTCATCCGCACCCCAGAGAACGGTCCAGGCCAGGAGCCGATTGTCGTGCCTCCACCTCAACGGAAAAATGTTGTGTACGTCCTCAACAAGCGACCCGTGCACGACCAGAAGGTCATCCACGTACCTGCGCCAGAACAACAAAGTCCTGAAGTGTTCTTCGTCAACTATGGTGAAGGCGAGAACCCAACTCTGCCCTCCGGAGAAGACCTCCAGTCTGCCCTGCGCTCTGCTGCCCAAGGGGGCGGTAATGTGATTGGTGGTGGAGGTGGTGGCGGCGCTGGTTTTGCGAGCGGCAGTGTCAGCATTGGTGGTGAAGCTGGCTTTGTAAGTGGCGGTGGCAGCGTTAGTGGTGAGGCTGGCTTTGTAAGTGGCGGTGGCAGTATTAGTGGCGAGGCTGGCTTTGTAAGTGGTGGTGGCATCATTAGCGGCGATGCTGGCTTTGTAAGTGGCGGAGGGAGAATTGGTGGAGATGGTGGATTTTCAGCTGTCACTATCTCCTCTGTGCCTCAACCATCAGGACTGTATTCCAAGCCATGAAGCCCCGCTTCCTAAAGTGTGTAGGTGGGGATGTTACCTATGCAGTCGATGTGTTAGTGCCTCACTCCTTCGGCATCAAGTGTCGTATTTATATACATTTTTTGCTTCATTTGAAATGACATTGTACTAATTTCTATGGCCTACAAAGGTTGTCTTAATCATAACTTCCATATAATATTTATTGTCTTGATCATTCCTTCCATGTGTTAATAAATTATATGCATTTCAAAAATGTTTTTTATTTTGTGAAAATATAATGCCTCCTAGCATGTTATCCCGATAACATTCCATTAAAAATGACAAAATAGCAACAAATGCAGATCAGTTTCGCTGGTCAGCTGTTATCTCATCAGATCGGAATTAGGCAAAAGCTGTCGCTCGTCACATCCTAACATTAAGTTATTTCTTAGATAACACACATAGGAAGAAATACAAAGGAAGAAATGTTATACACATAAGGAGAAATAATAGTTAAATGTCATAAATTAGGCATTCCGTCTTGTTCCTTCGTGTCACGTCTACCATACACAGGTACCAAACATCTGAAACAAAGAACACTGCAGTAGGCCTACTTGTCTATCTATTTCAGATTTAACCTAAATAAATTTATATATATATATATATATATATATATATATATATATATATATATATATATATATATATATATATAATATACAGAAGAAGGCAGTACTAGTAGCCTAGTGGCATGATGAGGTGCAGAATTTAGAATAATATATATATATATATATATATATATATATATATATATATATATATATATATATAATTCATAAGAGCACTGAGCAGTAAAATAAAATTTGGATCAGGCCAGAGAAATTCTGCACCTCATCATGCCACTAGGCTACTAGTACTGCCTTCTTCTGTAATGACAAGTTTAACTAAAGCATTTGTCATTATTGCCTTTTAGATATATTTGAATTCGTAAATTTCTTTACCGTTCTTTAAAGAGAAAAAAAAATCATGATAAAGCAAAATTGTTAAAAAATGCATTTTACGATGAAAGACATCAACTCTTGGGTCCACTGAACTGCTAAGTCATTCAACAGTGTCATCCTCTTCTGTGAAGTTGCGCAAGTTGTCTGGATGTGAGGCTGCAGCCTCGTGTTCCTGTAATGGATGCAGATATATACCCTGCTTCTCGGTATATATACCCTTGAGAGATATCTACTTTTAGTCTTGGGCTATGTTCGGAACTAAAGTATACTACGTTGTTGATTTGGAAGCTATTGTGGCGGCCTTAATAGCTCTGCAGAGGTTGATAGGCCATTGGGCCTAAAGAGGCCACCAAGCCAAAAGAGATTCAGATGAAAGTCGATACCAAAATCACTTTGAACACGCAGTTCTTGGAACATGAATTTGATTTCAACAGGATTTTAAATGCTAGTAAATTTGTGTTTTTAACACATTTAGGTACATCTGCATTTGTGCAGCTACCATAGACTATATGAAGGGGAGTACAGCGTGTCAAAAAACTAGCTACGTGATGCTAGAATCCCCCATCACACAGGATGGTTAGTTACAAAGGCATGTGATACGTAGTCTACACTGGCAGACTCTTGGGTGTATTATGAAAATATTATGAACACAAGAGTGAATTAGGTAGCGGTGATACTGAAAGTTCCCATCTCGCAGGATGGTTAGTCATACAGGGTCATACGTCAACCTGTACTCTTAAAATGAACGTCGCAACAATCGGTGAGATAGCTGATTGAAACTAGTGTGTTATTAAGCACTTAACCACTGAAGGTGCCAACCAGCAAATATATGTGTACTGAATATAGTTCATTATTAAAGTAAACTCAACGAATATACAACGATAAATGGGGCACACCTCAGTGTATTACCCATATACAAGGTTTTTTTCTTTATTAAATAATATACAATATAAAGATCATATTTGCATCAATTTACTGACCAATGGCAGTAAGATATACCACTCAAAAAACTCTTATGACCATAGGGATTTATTCATATAGATATATTAGCAAAAACATCTGAAACAAAATTATAAGGAATAAAGGCATATATTTTATTCAGATATCTGTTTGTAATAATTTAAAAAAGACTGTATGTGACGAGCGAGCGTCCCAAAAATAAAAGGGGCAACTCTTCCTAAAGGAATTTGTGTAAACTTTAAAAATAAATACCACAAAGTTTCTGATTTCCTGCTCGGATACTCCGTACATTTCAGAACGCGAGAACTAACGAAAAAGTTAGTTTTCGCGTTCTGCGAGACCATCATGCTGGGCGAGGCAGCTGAACGTGTCCAATCGCTGAGCAGCAGCCTCGTCAGCTCGCCTCTCTCCATTTAGTGTTGCCGCTGTATGTACTAGTCATGGGACGAGCAGAGCAGTGATGCTCGCATGACGAACTAAATCCGAGGTGAAAGGCGGGAAAGGAGAATAAATCGTTACGTTGTTTGTGGTACATCGTTACTTAAGATTGCCATCAAACACGTATGATATTGGAACTATGTCAGTTTTAGTGAGATATTTATCAATGCTTCGCTCCTATATGCTCTGACACGCATGTTTAAAAATATTTCACATTTACTTAAGAAACTTACCTATACTCAAAAATATATTAATAGTGAACATGACCAGGATTGAACAAGCTCTGTTGAACGCATTGCGTTGAGTAGATGCAAGATGCAAGTAGATGCATTGAACCCTGTTTAACACATCTTACGAACTTGTTCATCTTTTCAAATTTTGGCCGGCTTTGTTTACATTTATCAAACAACTTATGAGCTCGGAAGCACTGGGAGGCTGTTTATAACAACAATAACACTTGAGTGGGAAGTTTCGATGCTCGTAAACCGTTTAATAAATGTAAAAATATCAGGCAAAGAGTAGGAAAAGATGTAAAGGTTCGTAAGTAGATACGTAAATATTTGATGAATCATGGTCCATCTTAGTAAATCCTAACGCGAGACCCTGAGGCAACCAGCGTGTACGAGTAGGACAAAAGGCCTGTCACCAGAGGACGGAGGAATCCACGAGGAAAGTGTTGAAAATGAGGTTTGAGAGGAAAAGTGGGAGAGAAGGAGGTATATAAAGCTCAGATGACTTGTACCGTCGTCACACTCCACCATGAAGCTCCTGGTGAGTCACTCCTCCAGGAACGTCTGTGTCTTGCATACCGCGAGTACCAAGCTGCTGCTCACATATCTTACTTGAGAATAACTCTGATTTTAAGAGTAACGTTTGTCTACTGGAATAGTGTAGAGAGTAAACAGGTGACATCTGGGTGTGCTAGAAGAGTCTCAAGCTAGTAAACTGTCCCTGGCTACCACCAGTGTGAAGGAAGGAGGCACCACTCCAAGTCAGCGCTCCGGTTCTCTGGGTGACACAACACAATTACCGATACCACTTGCACACTAAACTAAAATATTAAGTGGCCAATAGTTTTACAGCAAAATGTAATGTATATGTTGGAAACATTCGGTATTTTACCATAAGAATAACAGAGGTATGGTAAACCACTATGGTGTACACCATCGTGGTTACCATACTTGTTTACACGGTCACAATTTTATTTCTTTATTTAATGAATAAATCTATATTTAAATTGATTTAAATATGTTTTACATTTTGCAAAATAATTGTTTTTCTTCATTAAATAATTTACAATATAAAGATCATATTTACATAAATTTACAAGGGAAAATACTACATAAATATATAGTTTATATCATTCTCATCAAACCAATTTTTCATATCATCACAGAGCATGAGATAATTTGACTATATTCTACCACAGATACTGGCTTGTGTGCTGGCAGTCACTGCGGACGCCGCTCCTCAGGGATACAACCAAGCCGCGCCCACTGGTCCAGCATTCTCTGCAGGTTCAGGGTTCTCCGGTGGCTCATCATTTGGATCTGGTCACTCATCAGGGGGATCAGGATTCTCGGGTGGTTCAGGGTTCTCCTCTGGTGGGTCTGGCTACTCCGGAGGCGGCTGTGGTTCCGGACAGATTCGGCATGTGGACGGCAGCTGTGTGACTCCTCAGATCACTCGTAACTTGTATGTGTACAACGCGCCTGAAACTGCTCCCGTAGTTGGTCCACGACCATACCTTCCACCACCAAGAGTTGAGCACAACATTGTGTTCATCCGCACCCCAGAGAACGGTCCAGGACAGGAGCCCATTGTCATACCACCACCTCAACAGAAAAATATATTGTATGTCCTCAATAAGCGACCCTTGAACGATCAGAAGGTCATCCACGTACCAGCACCAGAACAAGAAAGTCCTCAAGTGTTCTTCGTCAATTATGGAGAAGGAGACAACCCGACGCTGCCTACCGGTGGAGACCTGCAGTCTGCCCTCAGCTCTGCTGCCCAAGGTGGCGGTGACGTCATTAGTGGTGGCGGTGGAGGATTTGGTGGCGGTGGTGGCGGCGCTGGCTTTGCAAGTGGGGGTGGCGGAGGCGGATTTGCAATTGGTGGAGGAGGAGGATTTGCTAGCGGTGGTGGAGGAGGTGGCTTTGGCAGTGGTGGTGGAGGAGGTGGCTTTGGCAGTGGTGGTGGAGGAGGTGGCTTTGGCAGTGGTGGTGGAGGAGGTGGTTTTGTGAGTGGTGGAGGTAATGCCGGAGGCGGAGGCGGATATTCGGCTCCTTCTGTTGCACAGCCGTCAACACAGTATTCACAGCCTTAATTCAAGACTTTTTTGTTAGTTTGTGATGATGTGGATGTATATGCAGCTGTCTAATGTTAATGTTATTACCACTGGCTGCTACTACATACCTATACGAACGCATTTAAGTGTCTACGATCTGTTAAATTTGTTTTGTTAAATTTCTACAAATAAAAGATAATATATTTTATTATTTGTTTGCTTAATACAAATCATGTTGTGTTTTGTAATTGCATAATACTGATATTCATGCATTTCTAAATTATTGATTGATATTAAGTGACTAGTTGAGTGATAGGTACAGTGTAAAAACTAAAGTCAGTGTAGAGTCACGGTCACCAACATCAAACTAACAAATTGGCTTATATTATACTTTAATAAAGGTGCTGTAATATTACCTATGCAGATAATGTAATACTTGCAACAGTTTCACCCATACAAATTTTGTAACGTGCCTTCAAAAGTTATTATAAATTAAAAAAAACACTTTTACAATACGTCTAACATTGTCATAAACCTGCTAATTGACTCAAAACAATCTTCATATTTTTTTTTTTTTTTTTTGAGATATATACAAGAGTTGTTACATTCTTGTACAGCCACTAGTACGCGCAGCGTTTCGGGCAAGTCCTTAAGTCCTTAATATGTGCTAACTGTACTAGTATCTCAGTTCTGAATGTTATCCAGTAGTAGCTCGACTGAGTTCAGATATGTTGGTTGAATCCAGAAGACAATCATCACAGGTTCTCGAGGGATGAAGGCCATTTCGACCAAAAGACAGTTAGCCAACGATAATTATATTGTATTATAAGCTTTACAATCTAACCTAACCAAACCAAGCATGAGCAAATCCAGTCTAACTTAATAAATAACTGTTTCGTCAATTAATGAACAAAATATGTACTAAGTGCCTATTATGACCAACAACTTGACCGTAACCGGTTCATAGGTTGAGCTCCGCTCTACACAAAGTCTCCTACATTATTTATTCACACCTTGGAGCACTCAAACATTTGCACATTTAATTTGCACATTGTTCACGTTAGATCTTGACATATTTTGTTTAAATAGTAATCGGCAGAACCGGGCAAAAACGTTTCGTCTAACAACTCAAACAGAAAAGGCGACGACATTGTAAATACTATGTTTATATACAGTTGATATTGCCATATGAGAAATTTACATACTTGTCACAGTATATTGCATATAATGCAGTTCTGTTTCCAAATACACCAAGATATGTATCCCCAGTTCCAAGTGAACATACAGAGTATATCCTGAGCATACACACAGAAATCACAATAGCTTGATATATCGAGCCCGAGTGCATGGGGGAATTGTGTAAAACCCCGGTTTGTGTCTCAGGGAGACTGCGGGATCCGTGTGAGAGCAGTAACAATCCCAGTTTCAATTCTTTTGACCATGTCGTGGCTCAGTCGATTAAGGCGCGTCTGGGATCATCCTGGACTTACGTTCGAACCCTCATCACGGCCCTTATGGATTTATTCATATATCCTGAGCTATAGTCAGTACTAAAGCAGGCCTATATAATGCTGGTGAGAAATCTCTTCTGGTTGCCTATCCCACGGTTGATAGACCATTTAGCTCAATACAGAACCAGCAATAATACTCACAATAATGATTTACTACATGAAAAAACGCAACACCATTCAGCACATTACGTGCTTTTGAGTAGGTTGCCAGATTGGGCTCCATTAAAAAGGCAGCTATATATGTCGATATTTGCAATTTTTGGGGCTAATTTTAAAATAAGCTGGGCTGTGTACTCTGAAAAGCGTATCAATCGCTTAAAACTTATTTGGCTACTTTTGTTATAAATTCATGACTCTTAGTTCTTAAGCTCGCTACTTTCAGCAATACGGTTTTTGGCAAAACTGCTTTTGACTAACAAACAGGGTGTTTAGTCTTAAATTTAGTCTTCAGTAAGACTAAATTTGTGCCTTGTGTGAGTCATGGTTCGTTAGGCCTACTTTTGTGAGCCATATATAGGCCTACTATCTCACCTGTGACTCAGTTATATAGGCCTACTGTGAGACATAGTTAAACAGGTCTATTCTCGCGCCTCCTATTTCCATAGATTGCACTGACAGCAAACACACTCCAAGCCTTATACATTACACATATCACATCAAAAAATTCTTATTCAATAAGAATAAAATGTTAAATGAAAATATTATAAATACCGGTGACTAAACTAACCCAACCTAACCTATATACCAGAAAATATTATAAATACATCACCTCAATATTTGCGCCAGCATTACTGACTACATGAACTGTTTCACTCATTAAGAGAGTTTTTATACTGTCACGTTTTGTATTTGTCACTAAATTGTTCAATCAATACCCAAAAATAATTTAAAACAAATAAGAGTATCAGTATTAATCTATCACAAAACTCACAACATAATTTGCAACTGGCAAATAAGTATTTAAATTCGTATTACTTTTTATTTGTAGAAATATAACAAAACAAATTTAACAGGCCGTAAACACGTTCATATTGGTATGTAGTAGTAGTCAGTGTTAATAACATTAACATTAGACAGATACATGTACATCCACATCATCACAAACTAACAAGAAATCTTACATTAAGGCTGTGAATACTGTGTTGACGGCTGTGCAACAGAAGGAGCCGAATATCCGCCTCCACCTCCGGCATTGCCTCCACCACTCACAAAACCGCCTCCTCTACCACCGCTGGCAAAGTCTCCGCCACCACCGCTTGCAAAGCCAGCGCCGCCACCACCGCTTGCAAAGCCAGCGCCGCCACCACCACTTTCAAAGCCAGCGCCGCCACCACCGCTTGCAAAGCCAGCGCCGCCACCACCGCTTGCAAAGCCAGCGCCGCCACCACCGCTTGCAAAGGCAGCGCCGTCACCAAATCCTCCATCACTGCCACTAATGACGTCACCGCCACCTTGGGCAGCAGAGCTGAGGGCAGACTGCAGGTCTCCACCGGTAGGCAGCGTCGGGTTGTCTCCTTCTCCATAATTGACGAAGAACACTTGAGGACTTTCTTGTTCCGGTGCTGGTACGTGGATGACCTTCTGATCGTTCAAGGGTCGCTTATTGAGGACATACAATATATTTTTCTGTTGAGGTGGTGGTATGACAATTGGCTCCTGTCCTGGACCGTTCTCCGGGGTGCGGATGAACACAATGTTGTGCTCAACTCTTGGTGGTGGAAGGTATGGTCGTGGACCAACTACGGGAGCAGTTTCAGGCACGTTGTACACATACAAGTTTCGAGTGATCTGAGGAGTCACACAGCTGCCGTCCACATGCCGAATCTGTCCGGAACCACAGCCGCCTCCGGAGTAGCCAGACCCACCAGAGGAGAACCCTGAACCACCCGAGAATCCTGAGCCCCCTGATGAGTGACCAGATCCAAATGATGAGCCACCGGAGAACCCTGAACCAGCAGAGAATGCTGGACCAGTGGGCGCGGCTTGGTTGTATCCCTGAGGAGCGGCGTCCGCAGTGACTGCCAGCACACAAGCCAGTATCTGTGGTAGAATATAGTCAAATTATCTCATGCTCTGTGATGATATGAAAAATTGGTTTGATGAGAATGATATAAACTATCTATAAATGTAGTATTTTCCCTTGTAAATTTATGTAAATATGATCTTTATATTGTAAATTATTTAATGAAGAAAAACAATTATTTTGCAAAATGTAAAACATATTTAAATCAATTTAAATATAGATTTATTCATTAAATAAAGAAATAAAATTGTCACCGTGTAAACTGCTATGGTAACCACGATGGTGTACACCATAGTGGTTTACCATACCTCTGTTATTCTTATGGTAAAATACCGAATGTTTCCAACATATACATTACATTTTGCTGTAAAACTATTGGCCACTTAATATTTTAGTTTAGTGTGCAAGTGGTATCGGTAATTGTGTTGTGTCACCCAGAGAACCGGAGCGCTGACTTGGAGTGGTGCCTCCTTCCTTCACACTGGTGGTAGCCAGGGACAGTTTACTAGCTTGAGACTCTTCTAGCACACCCAGATGTCACCTGTTTACTCTCTACACTATTCCAGTAGACAAACGTTACTCTTAAAGTCAGAGTTATTCTCAAGTAAGATATGTGAGCAGCAGCTTGGTACTCGCGGTATGCAAGACACAGACGTTCCTGGAGGAGTGACTCACCAGGAGCTTCATGGTGGAGTGTGACGACGGTACAAGTCATCTGAGCTTTATATACCTCCTTCTCTCCCACTTTTCCTCTCAAACCTCATTTTCAACTCTTTCCTCGTGGATTCCTCCGTCCTCTGGTGACAGGCCTTTTGTCCTACTCGTACAATCTGGTTGCCTCAGGGGTCTCGCGCTTCGTCTCATTCTGTTGTTCACTATCATTGTCATACGATCATCAACTCACTGTTCATCCCATGACTCTTAAGTCCAGCGTCAGCATTAAAGGGGGAGAGGAGTGTTAGCAAGGATGCTACCTTTCATTGTACACCCACTTTTTGTGTTCATACACTGAGAACTGAACCCCGCTCTTGGTGTATATACAATGAAAACGACCCCGCTCTTGGTATACACCATACACTGAGAAATGGACCCCCCAGTCTTGGTGTATATGTACACCATGTGATAGGACAATAGGCTAGGAAAATTGGTTAAATCAAGTGAAAACGGTATCTCTTAGTTCCTCCTTTAAATTGAACGAGAGGGGGTACAATTTTGAATATGATTATGAAGTTCATTTCACAGTTTAGGACCTCTTGATTTGCAGAGCGTTTCTGCTTTAGTTCAGTCGCACTCTTGGAATATCAAAAAAGCACTTGTTTCTAGTGTGATGCCCATGTCTTGTTACAGTCCTATAGAAAGCGTTTAAGATTTTGATTAGCCTTACAGTGAAGAGTTTTATTGATGTAGAGCACACTTTAGGGGATGTGTATTGACTTGATACATAACATATTCTAAGATATCAGCAAAAGAAGGTGAGTGCTGCCTGAGACTGGAGTTTGTTATTTTTAATTGTTGCTTAATGTTGAGTAATTAGGGGTCGAAGGTAATTTAGGTTGTAGATACCCAAGCACATATATCGTAGGTGATATAAATAGGTCTTCTCTTGTACCTTTTGTTATTCAAATATGAAGGCCTACTGCGATAGATTGTTTTTCCCAGCTAACTGGTGTGGTACAGGTGCAGTGTACATAGGCCTGGATCACCGCTCTTACGTGCAAGCGACGTGTGCCGCTCACGTGCACAACGTTCTAGAACCGTAGATCATGGCATGTTGGGTCCCTACGGGTAACTATAGTGACCTCGGGAACGGTTACCACACAAAGGCCGTCGTGTGCCCATTGATAGATAAATTTTGACGATTGAAACGTGTGTAGTAAAGAATGCGGCAAGATGACGGCCATTTTAATTGCGACAGAAGTGATCTTTCTAACTCAGGTAAAGGAAGGGAGGAATCGTGGGTCGGGTCAGGTCAGGACCAACAGTCGACCGAGGTCAGTGACATAGCAGTGACGTCAAGGTTCACGTTACCCTCAGTTGTACTTATAGCCTCGTAGTTGGTAGAAAGGCTTTCTCTTTATTGACTAATCTTAAATAAAAGCTGTTTGCTGCCCAATAGTGCTTGAGAGAGCCTTCCTGGGCAAGCAAGCTCATTTTAAGTTGTGGGACCCAATGCTAGAGACGTAAATACTTTTCGTCTGATCACGTCAGCAGATGTAAACAATTAACAAACCCCAAACACGTCAAGTTAGCTTTACATTACACTTTTCTCTTTATAATCCATGATCACCCCGGAATCGTGTTTGGACATTATATTAAAATTAAGCTGTTAATACAGGTTAGAGTCTGTGTCTCTAATAATAATAATTAGAGACACCCTCAGAGACTGTGAACAGGTGCGCCAAAGTATATCCAGTGATATCTATGTCATCAGTGACGTTAAGCATCGGGAAAAGGTTAAAATGAACAACTGCATGACACGGGAAATGCTACGCGTATTTTTTTATGTGAAGATTTCGACGCGACACCTGTTCACGGGAATTTAAGACGCGCACCAACCATTGTCCCGGCCACCTGGCCGCTATGTGTTGCCAGCCACCACCCGCATACCTCGCATGTTGACACATGCGGTAGCGAGTGTCTTGCCCCCTGCCATACAATTTCCTTGCACATTGCCACATGAAGAAAGTGTAGAACGACACAGTACAACGTCAGGAAAGTTATTGCACCTTGCCACGTGTGGAAGTTTTGAACGCTGTTGTTTTGAGACAACAGAACACCCCTGTGAATTCTACACATATGCCATGAGTGGACAGCACAGGAACCATTAGAGGAGCTGCCTGTTGTGTATAAATGTGTATGAACGAGTGACATTCACTGGAAGTACAGCACTTCAATAGGAACTGAAGTTCCATTGTTATCATTGTCTCTGCACTTAGATCTGTGTGCTCTGCAAATTTATCTCACCCAGCTAACACTTGCAACGGGCCAAGATACAAAAGACCAATTGGTGAACACACCACTTACCAGTGTGGAAGTATCGTGTTGCACCTGGGCGAGTGTTGCTCATTAGCAACTAGCGTGTGTGTTTACACACACAACACATTTAACTACCATCTCTCTGTACAGTGTTGACTGTCTCATTGGCACTGTTTTTGTGCATGATTATTGTGCATGATTTCTGACTATCCCTTTGAAAACAGGTCATTATTTAGACATTTATTTGTGCTTGCTCATGTGACAAACCTGAGCATCTTGTTGAGCACCTGTGCCCCATTTTGTAGCCTACAGTAATAGGAGCCGAGCTAATTGATTCTAACTGATTCTCGCTCATTGCGAGGGATCTTGACAAGTGTTAAGTAATGTTGTGTTCCCATAGGGAATCGTTTCCGATCAACTAGACGTTCCTTGTTTCTCAGATGGGATTAGCTTTGACCGTCATCAAACCAGAGTAATTAAGCCCCCAGTGTATTATCAAATAAGCTGTCGAATAAATTTATATTAATTTTTACATCTGTGTTTCCGTAAAACTAAATTTCAAGAAATTGCTACTCCCCCATTGGTGTCTCCTTCATCTGTACGTGCCATTAGCCACACTAATTTATAAATGTGTCTTTAATTATGTATCTTCAATTATGATGGAATGATATATACATATTGGCCGAGAAGAGGCTTTAAAATTATTTTTTGCATAAAGAACAGCGAGGGAAATTGATTGAAAATTTTACATGAGGCTTTTTTTTTAAATGTTAGGTGAGGACTCAGTCCGAGATAAGAAGAGCCCAATACTTGACATTTGAGGGCCTGTCTGACACCAAATAGAGACCACAACACCTTTCAATAGTTAAGAAGGCCTACCCAAGCGCCTTATACTTCCTCTGGCTGTAAACACACTCTAATGTTGACCAGACCACACACTAGAAGGTGAACACACTCTAATCTTTAAACATTACATATTCATAAAAATAATGTTTAAGAAAGACCTTAAAACATATTATATATATAGAAACAAACACGTATTTTTCAGTTTGACAATAATTATGTAATATAAGAATAAAATGGTAATAAAAATATTATAAGCACTTGTGGTTCATAATTAAAAGTTTCCGGTCTGTTTGCTATCACTAGATCCTGATCTTGTCATCCTTCGATGAACACGTGTAAGTGAATTTGTCTTTTTATAATATTGCGACCAAAACGGAACTGCATAATCTAAATAGGCTTAACAAGAGCATGATATAGATAAAGAGTAACACCAGGAGTTTTATTGCTAACGCTTCTGGAAATAAATCTCAGTATCCTATTTGCCTTATTTCGAACATTTATGCATTATTTTTTATTTGTTTTAATTTCCTACTAATCATGACCCCAGATCTTTTTTACAATCAGAGTTCGCAATTTCAATACCATACAGCTGATATCTTGTAACTCCCACCCATGATTATCTACCCTCAGAACCTTACATTTGTTAGCAATAAACTGCATGTTCAAATTTTTCGACCGTTTCAAAAGCCCATTTTTTTAATATTTAATGCTAAGCTTCCTCTGCTGTATGCTATACTGCACCACTATCTAGATCGGCTTGAAGTGATCTCGAGTCTTCTGACTTTGTTTACCGCCCAATTTTCGTATCGTCTTCAAATTTGTAAATATTGCTGCTCAATCCTGAATCTAAATCATTTATATATATATATATATATATATATATATATATATATATATATATATATATATATATATATATATATATATATATATATATATATATATATATTAGTATATTTTGGTAGCAGTCTTTCCTGTAGACATATATTATTAAATATGACCGAAAAAGTAAGATTAATAATTCTAACACGAATTTTCCCAATCTTTCGTACATTACGCTTCACTGTTGGAGGTAAATCAAAAATCACTTCTCCAAAATTCATTTTTATTTCTAGTCTGACGCGACACGGGCGCGTTTCGTAAAAGAGGCACCCTTCTTGAGCCCGGATGGGCACATGTATAAGCAAGTAGATGGGGTCGCCATGGGTTCTCCCCTAGGTGTCCTGTTTGCAAACTTCTACATGGGTACCATCGAGCAAAAAGTCTTAGTCGACATGAACTTGAAACCGGCCATATACTGCAGGTATGTTGACGACATTTTTACACAGGTACCTGATGTCAGACATCTGCAGGAGCTGAAGGAGGCATTTGAGCAGAGTTCCGTGCTGCGTTTCACTTACGAGACGGAAAAGGATGGGAAGCTGCCCTTTCTAGATGTAACAGTCATGGAAAAGGGCGGAGGTTTCCACACTGCAGTCTACACTAAGGAAACAAACATAGGAATGTGCCTAAATGCCAACAGCGACTGCCCTGACAGGTACAAGAGGAGTGTTGTTAACGCATACGTCGACCGTGCTCTCAGCCACAGCTCAGAATGGAAGCAAGTCGACGAAGAACTCTGTAGGGTAAGGCAGGTCCTAGTCAATAACGGCTTCTCCAATGGTTTCATCGAAGACATCATAAGAAGGAAAGTGAAAAGCCATGCAACCTCTGAAGAGACAACTAACACAACACCTATACCCCCTATTAGACTATTTTACAGGAACTTCTTTTCCACAGCTCATAAAACGGAGGAAAGGGTCCTGAAAGATATTGTTAATAGAAACGTTATCCCTACAGACAAAAATCAGAGGATACAACTGACGATTTACTATAAAACCAGAAAAACGGCCAGCCTACTCATGAGAAACTCTCCAGACACAAAACAGAACGCTTTAAAAGAGACTAACGTCGTCTATGCCTTCAAATGCCCACTTGGGGACTGTAAGCTCCAAAAAACCCAGTATATAGGCAAGACAACAACATCTCTTTCTAGGCGTTTAACGATGCATAAGCAACAGGGCTCCATTAAGGAACATATAATCTCTTCCCACAACCAAACCATCGCCAGAGAAATCCTAGTAAACAACACAGAAATCATCGATAGATACAGCGATAGCAGGCGGCTTGACGTTTGCGAGGCACTATACATCAAGAAGTCAACACCAGCAATCAACAGCCAATTATTGCACAACTATATTCTACCCACCTCAAGACTCCGCTCCAATATAGAAGCATCAAGAAATATGGACCAATAGGCTTTCTACAAACACTTCTATTCAATACCCATTGTTTCTGTTCTGTCTTGTGTTGATACTTTTAATACCCTATTAATATCCCCTCTTGTTCTGTCTTGTGTTAATGCCACATCACCCCTCCCACCTCACTCAAATGTAGATATAAAATCGGAGATACGTAAGTTCTAATCAGTTGTGTATTTGTGAAGTCTTTGAAAATGTAATAAGTTTTACGAAACGCGCCCGTGTCGCGTCAGACTAGAAATAAAAATGAATTTTGGAGAAGTGATTTTTGATTTACCTCCAACAGTGAAGCGTAATGTACGAAAGATTGAGAAAATTCGTGTTAGAATTATTAATCTTACTTTTTCGGTCATATTTAATAATATATATATATATATATATATATATATATATATATATATATATATATATATATATATATATATATATATATATATATATATATATATAGCCAAGTTTTCATGAATTAATTGTTTTTCGACTACCTAATCTACCTAACCTAACCTAACCTAACTTTTTCGGCTCCCTAACCTAACCTAACCTTTAAAGATAGGTTAGGTTAGGTTAGGTAGGGTTGGTTTGGTTCGGTCATATATCTACGTTAATTTTAACTACAATAAAAAAAATTGACGTCATACATAATGAAATGGGTAGCTTTATCATTTCATTAGAAAAAAAATAGAGAAAATACATTGATTCAGGAAAAATTGGCTTATTAGACAAATCGGGCCTTGCATAGTAGGCCGAGAAGTGCATTCTGGCTACTAGGTACGACATATATATATATATATATATATATATATATATATATATATATATATATATATATATATATATATATATATATATATATATATATATATATATATGGTAAACAACAGAGGTCCAAGGTTTCCCTCTTTGACTAAACTCCATTTATACTAACTTTTTGTTTCCTAACCATATCCTTTCCAACTTAAGAGAGCACCTCCAATTCTGTGAGCCTCTATATATTTTACGTCTTTCGTGTGGCACTAGATCAAAAGCTGGGAGTGGTAGAGGTCGTGGCAGCTGAACGTGAAGAGGGAAGAACAGCAGCCTTGCTAACAATCCTCTCTCCCTTCAACTTGAGCGCTGGACTTAAGAGTCATGGGATGAGCCGTCGTGGGATGAGCATGGGGAATGACAATGAGCAACATAATGAGACGAAGCGTGAGGCCCTGAGGCAACGGAGCAGCGTGTTCGTGTAGGACAAAAGACCTGTCACCAGAGGACGGAGGAATCCATGAGGAAAGTGTTGAAAATGAGGCTTGAGAGGAAAAGTGGGAGAGAAAGAGGTATATAAAGTTCAGATGACTTGTACCGTCGTCACACTCCACCATGAAGCTCCTGGTGAGTCACTCCTCCAGGAACGTCTGTGTCTTGCTTACCGCGAGTACCAAGCTGCTGCTCACATATCTTACTTGAGAATAACTCTGATTTTAAGAGTAACGTTTGTCTACTGGAACAGTGTATAGTGGTAACAGGTGATTTATATGTACCAAAGAACTATCTGAAAATTTTAAACTGGCCCTGACTGCTGTCTCCATGAAAGATGGAAGCACAGTTTCAAGACGACTTTATTTTTCGACGGGTGAGACGCAGAATTACCATAAACAATGCACACTAAAAACAAAAAAGTGTCACTTGGTTTAAGGCATAAATATTTGGTACTCGTTTTCCACGTAGTGCTTGCGAATATAATGACTACTGATAATGTCCAGATTCGATTACTGAAACCATTCGTGTCTTCACTATAAAAACGGCACCGCACAGTGGTGTTCCAAGTTGCTCGTTCTGTGCTCAGAAATTTAAAATAGAATTTAACTAAAATTATATTACATATAACAATTTGAAGAAAATAATAATTTAATTTTATTAAAGCATTCATACATTTACAGTCGCTTTGCATATTTCATATCAACGCCCGTTAATAACCTTCTTGAAACAATATAAATATGTATGTGCTCTTTATAAATATATGAAGATAATTGCTTAATTTACGACTAATTTGGGAAAGTTAATCACGTGTAATTCCTTCCCACTTCTAAAGTAAATAGCCTTTTAATGTTCATTGCAGCCACATCTGCATTCTGCACTTGGCTTCGTAACGAAGTAACACCCACACGTTAAATAGCAGTTAGAATACTAGTGCCTACAACCAGCTTTGGTGTTCATTAAGCTTCGCTCCATCCACACTTTTAGATGAAATATATTTCCTAGTAACACCAACGTCATCTAGAGAGAAATATCTATTATACAAATTGTATTAGCATTTAGATTCAACATTTATCTCAGAACATGGAAATCACAGTAACATCAACACTTCACCGTAACATTAATATCTTAGTGATGTCCAGTTGCTTGAGCCTCTGATTTATTTTCTAGAGACACGAAAATTTTACTGTGAAATCTTATCCCTTATAACAATTCACTCATTTATCTACAACTGAGTCGCAGAATCACGAGTTATCCGGTTTGATAAGAAAGTTCCTAGCTGAGTAATAATGGTAATTATCCGCCATCATACACAAATACAAGAAATCTATATTTTCCACAGTTTGCTAAAAAAATTGACTATATTCTACCGCAGATACTGGCTTGTGTGCTGGCAGTCACTGCGGACGCCGCTCCTCAGGGATACAACCAAGCCGCGCCCACTGGTCAAGCATTCTCTGCAGGTTCAGGGTTCTCCGGTGGCTCATCATATGGATCTGGTCACTCATCAGGGGGATCAGGATTCTCGGGTGGTTCAGGGTTCTCCTCTGGTGGGTCTGGCTACTCCGGAGGCGGCTGTGGTTCCGGACAGATTCGGCATGTGGACGGCAGCTGTGTGACTCCTCAGATCACTCGTAACTTGTATGTGTACAACGTGCCTGAAACTGCTCCCGTAGTTGGTCCACGCCCATACCTTCCACCACCAAGAGTTGAGCACAACATTGTGTTCATCCGCACCCCGGAGAACGGTCCAGGACAGGAGCCCATTGTCATACCACCACCTCAACAGAAAAATATATTGTATGTCCTCAATAAGCGACCCTTGAACGATCAGAAGGTCATCCACGTACCAGCACCAGAACAAGAAAGTCCTCAAGTGTTCTTCGTCAATTATGGAGAAGGAGACAACCCGACGCTGCCTACCGGTGGCGACCTGCAGTCTGCCCTCAGCTCTGCTGCCCAAGGTGATGGTGACGTCATTAGTGGCAGTGATGGAGGATTTGTTGGAGGCGCTGGCTTTGCAAGCGGTGGTGGCGGCACTGGCTATGCAAGCGGTGGTGGCGGCACTGGCTATGCAAGCGGTGGTGGCGGCACTGGCTATGCAAGCGGTGGTGGCGGCGCTGGCTTTGCAAGCGGTGGTGGCGGCGCTGGCTTTGCAAGCGGTGGTGGCGGCACTGGCTATGCAAGCGGTGGTGGCGGCGCTGGCTTTGCAAGCGGTGGTGGCGGCGCTGGCTTTGCAAGCGGTGGTGGCGGCGCTGGCTTTGCAAGCGGTGGTGGCGGCACTGGCTATGCAAGCGGTTTTGGCGGCGCTGACTATGCAAGCAGTGGTGGCGGCGTTGGCTATGCAAGCGGTGGTGACGGAGGTGGATTTGCGATTGGCGGAGGAGACTTTGCCAGCAATGGCAATGGATTTGGTAGCGGTGGTAGAGGAGGCGGTTTTGTGAGTGGTGGAGGCAATGCCGGAGGCGAATATTCGGCTCCCTCTGTTGCACAGCCGTCAACACAGTATTCACAGCCTTAATGTCAGATTTTCTAGTAGGTTTGTGATGATGTGGATGTATATGTAGCTATCTAATGTTCATTTTATTAACACTGACTACTATACATACCTATACGAACGAATTCAAGGGTTTACGATATGTTAAATTTGTTTTGTTTAGATTAAAAAATAAAAGGTAATATACATTTTAATATTACTTTGCCTTTGCAAATTATGTGAGTTTTGTAAGTGTGTAATAATGATTTTTTTTTTATTTTTCCTATCTTGAATAGGTGAGTAAGAAATACTGAACTTGACAGTATATATCGAAATAGATCGAACAAGTTAATAAATTGTCAAGGTCACCACCATCAAACTAACAAATTGGGCTCTATAAAAATTACTTAAACATGATCAGCACTACCAAATTTACTCAAATCTTGTTTATTTAGACAGTTGATATTACCATATAAGAAGCTTCAACCACAAACATTAACACACTTGTCACAGCACCTTGCGTATAATGCACGAATATTTTCTGATTAAGTTGGAAGTATACACAGATGTCTGGGAGCGCACTCAGATGACAACATGACACGTTTGCTTGATATATATATACTGATATAATATATATATATATATATATATATATATATATATATATATATATATATATATATATATATATATATATATATATATATATATGTCGTACCTAGTAGCCAGAACGCACTTCTCAGCCTACTATGCAAGGCCTGATTTGCCTAATAAGCCAAGTTTTCATGAATTATTGTTTTTTCGACTGCCTAACCTACCTAACCTAACCTAACATTTTCGGTTACCTAACCTAACCTAACCTATAAAGATAGGTTAGGTTAGGTTAGGGTTGGTTAGGTTCGGTCATATATCTACGTTAATTTTAACTCCAATAAAAAAAAATTGACCTCATACATTATGAAATGGGTAGCTTTATCATTTCATAAGAAAAAAATTAGAGAAAGTATAATAATTCAGGAAAACTTGGCTTATTAGGCAAATCGGGCCTTGCATAGTAGGCCGAGAAGTGCATTCTGGCTACTAGGTACGACATATATATATATATATATATATATATATATATATATATATATATATATATATATATATATATATATATATATATATATATATATATATATATATATACTTGCATAAACCACAAGTGAAGATAAACAATCTTTGGACAACACCCACCAGTGGGACTCGAACCCAGAAAGCACAACTACCTTCCAGTAGCTGGCATAACTAGTATGCTTTAACCCACTACGCCATCAGACCTTACAAAAGAAGTAGATAGTTCGAGATATATATATCTCAAACATCTCTACCTCCCGAAGGCACCAGATGAGTGAGGGGTCAGTCTGCAATTTTCGTCAAGCCACTGTCAATGTGAGAGAACTCGTGTCCAGCTTATAAGCCTATACTTGCATAAACCACAAGTGAAGATAAACAATCTTTGGACAACACCCACCAGTGGGACTCGAACCCAGAAAGCACAACTACCTTCCAGTAGCTGGCATAACTAGTATGCTTTAACCCACTACGCCATCAGACCTTACAAAAGAAGTAGATAGTTCGAGATATATATATCTCAAACATCTCTACCTCCCGAAGGCACCAGATGAGTGAGGGGTCAGTCTGCAATTTTCGTCAAGCCACTGTCAATGTGAGAGAACTCGTGTCCAGCTTATAAGCCTATACTTGCATAAACCACAAGTGAAGATAAACAATCTTTGGACAACACCCACCAGTGGGACTCGAACCCAGAAAGCACAACTACCTTCCAGTAGCTGGCATAACTAGTATGCTTTAACCCACTACGCCATCAGACCTTACAAAAGAAGTAGATAGTTCGAGATATATATATCTCAAACATCTCTACCTCCCGAAGGCACCAGATGAGTGAGGGGTCAGTCTGCAATTTTCGTCAAGCCACTGTCAATGTGAGAGAACTCGTGTCCAGCTTATAAGCCTATACTTGCATAAACCACAAGTGAAGATAAACAATCTTTGGACAACACCCACCAGTGGGACTCGAACCCAGAAAGCACAACTACCTTCCAGTAGCTGGCATAACTAGTATGCTTTAACCCACTACGCCATCAGACCTTACAAAAGAAGTAGATAGTTCGAGATATATATATCTCAAACATCTCTACCTCCCGAAGGCACCAGATGAGTGAGGGGTCAGTCTGCAATTTTCGTCAAGCCACTGTCAATGTGAGAGAACTCGTGTCCAGCTTATAAGCCTATACTTGCATAAACCACAAGTGAAGATAAACAATCTTTGGACAACACCCACCAGTGGGACTCGAACCCAGAAAGCACAACTACCTTCCAGTAGCTGGCATAACTAGTATGCTTTAACCCACTACGCCATCAGACCTTACAAAAGAAGTAGATAGTTCGAGATATATATATCTCAAACATCTCTACCTCCCGAAGGCACCAGATGAGTGAGGGGTCAGTCTGCAATTTTCGTCAAGCCACTGTCAATGTGAGAGAACTCGTGTCCAGCTTATAAGCCTATACTTGCATAAACCACAAGTGAAGATTTATCTTCACTTGTGGTTTATGCAAGTATAGGCTTATAAGCTGGACACGAGTTCTCTCACATTGACAGTGGCTTGACGAAAATTGCAGACTGACCCCTCACTCATCTGGTGCCTTCGGGAGGTAGAGATGTTTGAGATATATATATCTCGAACTATCTACTTCTTTTGTAAGGTCTGATGGCGTAGTGGGTTAAAGCATAATAGTTATGCCAGCTACTGGAAGGTAGTTGTGCTTTCTGGGTTCGAGTCCCACTGGTGGGTGTTGTCCAAAGATTGTTTATCTTCACTTGTGGTTTATGCAAGTATAGGCTTATATATATATAAATATATATATATATATATATATATATATATATATATATATATATATATATATATATATATATATATATATATATATATATATATATATATATATATATATGTCGTACCTAATAGCCAGAACTCACTTCTCAGCCTACTATGCAAGGCCCAATTTGCCTAATAAGCCTAGTTTTCATGAATTAATGTTTTTTCGACAACCTAACCTACCTAACCTAACCTAACCTAACGTTTTCGGCTACCTAACCTAACCTAACCTATAAAGATAGGTTAGGTTAGGTTAGGTAGGGTTGGTTAGGTTCGGTCATATATCTACGTTAATTTTAACTCCAATAAAAAAAAATTGACCTCATACATAATGAAATGGGTAGCTTTATCATTTCATAAGAAAAAAATTAGAGAAAATATATTAATTCAGGAAAACTTGGCTTATTAGGCAAATCGAGGATTGCATAGTAGGCCGATAAGTGCATTCTGGCTACTAGATACGACATATATATATATATATATATATATATATATATATATATATATATATATATATATATATATATATATATATATATATATATATATATATATATATATATATATGTCGTACCTAGTAGCCAGAACGCACTTCTGAGCCTACTATGCAAGGCCAGATTTGCCTAATAAGCCACGTTTTCATGAATTAGTTGTTTTTTGACTACCTAACCTACCTAACCTAACCTAACCTAACCTTTTCGGCCACCTAACCTAACCTAACCTATAAAGATAGGCTCATACATAATGATATGGGTAGCTTTATCATTTCATCAGAAAAAATTAGAGAAAATATATTAATTCATGAAAACTTGGCTCATTAGGCAAATCGGGCCTTGCATAGTAGGCTGAGAAGTGCGTTCTGGCTACTAGGTACGACATATATATATATATATATATATATATATATATATATATATATATATATATATATATATATATATATATATATATATATATATATATATATATATATGTCGTACCTAGTAGCCAGAACGCACTTTTATGCCTACTATGCAAGGCCCGATTTGCCTAATAAGCCAAGTTTTCCTGAATTAATTGTTTTTCGACAACCTAACCTACCTAACCTTACCTAACCTAACTTTTTCGGCTACCTCACCTAACCTAACCTCTAAAGATAGGTTAGGTTAGGTTAGGTAGGGTTGGTTAGGTTTGGTCATATATCTACGTTAATTTTAACTCCAACAAAAAAAAATTGACCTCATACATAATGAAATGGGTAGCTTTATCATTTCATAAGAAAAAAAATAGAGAAAATATATTAAATCAGGAAAACTTGGCTTATTAGGCAAATCTGGCCTTGCATAGTAGGCTGACAAGTGCGTTCTGGCTACTAGGTACGACATATATATATATATATATATATATATATATATATATATATATATATATATATATATATATATATATATATATATATATATATGTCGTACCTAGTAGCCAGAACTCACTTCTCAGCCTACTATTCAAGGCCCGATTTGCCTAATAAGCCAAGTTTTCCTGAATTAATATATTTACTATAATTTTTTTCTTATGAAATGATAAAGCTACCCTTTTCACTATGTATGAGGTCAATTTTTTTTTATTGGAGTTAAAATTAACGTAGATATATGACCGAACCTAACCAACCCTACCTAACCTAACCTAACCTATATATATAGGTAAGGTTAGGTTAGGTAGCCAAAAAAAGCTAGGTTAGGTTAGGTTAGGTAGGTTAGGTAGACGAAAAAACATTAATTCATGAAAACTTGGCTTATTAGGCAAATCGGGCCTTGCATAGTAGGCTGAGAAGTGCGTTCTGGCTACTAGGTACGACATATATATATATATATATATATATATATATATATATATATATATATATATATATATATATATATATATATATATATATATATATATATATATATATATATATATATATATATATATAAGAATGAGGTGATTTGATAAAATGCTTTGCATTTTAAAACACATTAGCGCTGCCGCTTGCTTGCCAAGCTCAACTGAGTCATTCTGTACAATTGCTGCTCATGTCATTTAATGGAAGTTTTTATAGTTGCCCGATGTAAATCTGCTTGTATCAGTAATAATAACATTGTAATGCTAATAAAACTATCAATAATGCCAGCATTTATTTAATGGATGATGTAAGCAAATGTGATTACATTTCATGGGGTGCTAACATCTTATAATCTATATTTTAACAAGATGAACATAACATAATGTATGTAGCTCTTCACCATAACAATTATATAACAATACTTTTATCTTCAATAAAGGCTTCTGACCTTAAGGTGGCAAATATAATGATGGCGGCTGAGGTACGGGGGGAGGAATTCCCCCTGAATATCCACCACCACCACCGCCTCCCAGAATGTCACCACCGCCGCCATTCACAATGCTACCACCTCCACCAAAGCCGCCACCGTTTCCATATCCACCACCACCACCGCCTCCCAGAAAGTCACCACTGCCGCCTCCCACAATGCTACCACCTCCACCAAAGCCGCCACCGTTTCCATATCCACCACCACCACCACCGCCACTGCCGCCAATCACTGTACCACCACCTTGGGCAGCAGAGCGGAGGGCAGACTGCAGGTCTTCTCCTGTGGGCAGCGAAGGGTTGTCTCCGTCACCATAGTTGACGAAGTATACGTCAGGACTCTCTTGTTCTGGTGCTGGTACTTGGATGATTTGCTGATTGTATGCGGGTCGCTTGCCGAGGACGTATAGTGTGTTTTTCTGTTGAGGTGGTGGCACGACAATGGGTTCAGGGCCTGGACCGCTTTCTGGGGCGCGAATGAACAAAATATTGTGTTCAACTGTTGGTGGAGGAATGTATGGTCGTGGACCAATGACCGGGGCCAAGTCGGGAGCACTGTACACAAACAAGTTGCGGGTGACCAGGGGAGTCACACAGCTGCCATCTACATGACGTACTTGTCCCCCACCACAGCCGCCCCCAGAACCGCCTGAGGTTCCGTAGCCATGAGGGGCGGCGTCCGCAGCGGCTACCAGCAACCACACTAATACCTGTGACGAGGTAAAGAAAATCGTTTTTAGTAAAGTAAATTATTATGGATATAACGACTTTGTGAAAACAAATTGAAAACCCCCTTCATATAAACACAGATGACAACCGTGAATGATGTTTTAAAAGTGCCTTAGATAAGTTGTCACTACAACATATTGACCACCGGTACTATGGTGGTCGCTCCATGATGCAGGAGTGACATAGACATGTATGTGCAAAGGTTTTCGGGTCACATGGACGTCATGTTGGCTTTTACATTTGAGTCGCCATTAATATACATGTTTAAATTTCATAAAGATCTGTATGGAGGTGTAATGCTTCACAGCATGGCACAAAGGTCTTCATATATAACGCTGATGCCTTATAAGAGACAGTCGTTTGGTAATCACTGTTTTGAAACTATTAACGTTATGTTAATGTATGGTCGTGGACCAATGACCGGGGCCAAGTCGGGAACTTGTAAATAATAGAGTAACTAGGTGACAACTGTTTCACGAGAGTAACTAGGTGACAACTGTTTCACGAGAGTAACTAGGTGACAACTGTTTCACGAGAGTAACTAGGTGACAACTGTTTCACGAGAGTAACTAGGTGACAACTGTTTCACGAGAGTAACTAGGTGACAACTGTTTCACGAGTAATTTTGTTTCTTTTAAATTGTAAATATAAAGATTTTAGCCCATCATCAAATCAAAGTGCCGGAAGGTTCTCTATGTGTTAATACAAAATATGGACAATTCCAGTTGGAAATAATCTGTATATTGTACATTTGTCAGTCTGAATCTTTTCGAAATTATAATACTTTTGTAAACAGCGCAAACGCTCAGTAAACCAACGAAACCAAAACACCGTACATAACCTTTCAAATTAGGTTATATTTGATAAATGATTTTTTAATTATACCACATAAAAGACTCATTCTCAGCTGCCAGAAGGTAAATACTGACTTAATAAAGCGGCCATAGTCATTATTTCTACTATTGCTTTAGGGTGGGGAATGGGTTGAAATATATTGAACTATAAAACACGCGTGGGGTCCACGGTTCGAGACCCATACAGCCCAGGTGAATGGAATATTGAACTATATTTTCGTTTTTACTGTTTATGTAAATCCACATTGATTGTATTGATACAATTGCGTCAACAAAGTGTGTTATACTTAAGAACAGTCACTTTAACTGGTCGCGTTATGTGAACCTCCGTACAGTTGGTAGGCTTTACTTCTCCGGTTAAGTCATACGTGGGCCAGTAGTAGCCTCTGCCACATATCACTCTTACATCCTGTTTTCCAACACTTTAGCAAACATTAGGCGTCACACATTCGACTCGCGTACCATCGCAGATCAATTAGGCGAGACTGTTTTACTGATATACCGGCGTGTGTAGCAGCACTACTGAAGGAGGAACCACTCACCAGGAGCCTCATGGTGGAGTGTGATAACAGGCTAAGGCATCTGGGTCTTATATACCTCCGTCTCCCACTTTTCCTCTCATGACCCGCTTTCATCCGTTGTATCCTCTCAGGATACCGTGCTCAGCTTCCCTAAAGATGTCGTTCACAACCAGTGAGCGGTAATATTTGTTTATAAAAACAATATATTTAAGCAGTCGAGAAATTGCGGCCTTGAGCAATATGGGAAAAGTATACCCGTGCCCAGCTTGGAAGATTACTCTAAGATGTTGAACAATATATTACAAAACACTGGCCTACTCAACACTTACTCTCGATATATATAGTTTACATGTTTGTGTTAGTATTATAATAAAAATATCTAAATATCATACGACGGACAACGGAAGGGGTTTCTCATTTTAAATTCGCATCTGAATATCTCCAACAAAATGTTACTTATATATACTGCCAGTATTGAAGTAAAAGTTGTCAAATTTATAACAAACATGTGTAAAGAAAAACATAAATCTAGGAAAATATGATAATACAGTTACCCAAGTGTAAACTAATAATTGAGAAGAGCCGTCATAATTTGCTACTTGTTGATGATTATTTCATTGTAAATTACTAGAGTGTGAGAGAGAGAGCAAGATACTAACCACCAACGCTTAGTCTAATGTAAATATCGACAGTAAAGTTACAGATTTTATTCTAGCCTAACATTAGCAGAGAGCTTCCACAGGACATCACCAAAACAGTTGTATAAAAAATAATTGCAATGTTGACAAATAAGTTTTCAAATACTATTACAACTTATGTATAATATATTTAGTTGCCAGCGACAAACTGAACAAAATGACCTATTATAGTTTAGTACAGTTAATTTATTATGCACCCCATACCCACCGTGTGAGCGGGAGCAGAAAAGAATCAGACATATTGGGTTCGGGAACTAAACCCCAATTTTAGTTTAACTTAGAGAGTTACATCATTGATGAACTAGTTACAATGTTTGTTAAAATATACATCAACACTATTTAGTTTTGCTTAGTTGAGCTTAATTATCAGAAGGTTACAGTCACATAATGGGTCAAGAACTGACCCCCCTCCAATGTTTTATAGGCTAAGTATTTTAAATTTGCGGTAAAATAGAAAGGTATTGATAAAATTATATTATAGTATCTAACGTTGCAGTGCATGGCCATAACTCTTATCACCAATATTCAAAAGGTAACAAATTATCAAAAGAAAACACTAATCCGGGATAACATATTACCCAAAGTCCTAGCCAAGCACTCTTGCTTTAAAGAGTCTCAACACTGTAAGCTTGCGCTGCCTGCAAGTCTCTTATTTACTCATGTTATTTTCCTGAATTCACCTGAAGGCCACTAACACTTGTGACCTCGACGAAGACAGGAAGCCGGCGGCTTGTCAATGGTCTCCCCATTTGCCCTGATCTTTTCCAGCTGGATTTTAGAATTTTAACCGAGTTTTGGCATTTACGGTTACTGCGGGAAGGCGAGTCTATATTTATAACCCTGTGGGTGAAAAAGCATCTCCTGTTCTCAGTCCTACAATCAAGTCGTCAAGCCATAATGTTGGACTGAGAACAGGAGATGGTTTTTCACCCATAGGGTTATAAACCCATGTCACACACACACACACACACACACACACACACACACACACACACACACACACACACTCACACTCACACTCACACTCACACTCACACTCACACACATATATATATATATATATATATATATATATATATATATATATATATATATATATATATATATATATATATATATATATATATATATATATATGAGTACGTGAGTGCCATAGGCCAGTCGGGTCAGTCCAAGTACTATGTTTTAAAAAATTTTGTCATCTATAGCCCTTCCTGAAATTTTCGTTGCCTGAAATAAAATCAGTTGTGTTTTCCAGAGTTATTTTATGTTTACTCACGCCTGATTTTCATGATTTACTCGAAAACAATGAGCGGAAATTAATTCGGGTTACAGTATAACATATTCTGAGACAAAGAAAGATAAAACGAGAGAAAGAGCGGGAGAGGGAGGGAAGGAGCTAGAGATAGGAGAGAAGGAGAAGGAGGGGCATGCTGGGGGCAGGAAGATGGAGAGGGAAAACAGGGAAGAAGTTGGGGGTGGAAGGAGGAAGTTGGGGATGGAAGGGGGTAGAGAAGAGAAATGTGTGTTTTCGGCTGAGTTACGTGTGTTGATAACGAACATACAATGATAAAATAGTGAAGAATAGCGCACCGTCAAACCCTACATAGAGACGCAAACTCTGTGCAAAAGATGATGAGGAAAGGGAACAATTACTGTGCAAAGTTCATCGTAACTGTATATGCAATTGTAAACTAGGTATTGTATTCCAATAGAAAGTCAAGTGTAGAGTTGAATATTTAAAAGGAGAGAAACTCCAAGCTAAGAGAAAACTACTGAGATGTCGTTTACGCCTGTAAGAGCATTATTGAAGCTAAGATACACGGAGGGTTAGCTGGTTATCAAGGCTAAGATACACGGAGAGTTAGCTGGTTATCATGGCTAAGATACACGGAGGGTTAGCTGGTTATCATGGCTAAGATACATGGAGGGTTAACTGGTTATCATGGCTAAGATACACGGAGGGTTAGTTGGTTATCTTGGCTAAGATACACGGAGGGTTAGCTGGTTATCATGGCTAAGATACACGGAGGGTTAGCTGGTTATCAAGGCTAAGTTACACGGAGGGTTAGCTGGTTATCAAGGCTAAGTTACACGGAGGGTTAGCTGGCTATCATGGCTAAAATACACGGAGAGTTAGCTGGTTATCAAAGGCAAGACATACAGAGGGTACAGGAGCGGTGAGATGGAATATACAACGATAATTTCCAAATCATATATTTTTTGTTTTAAGTTTCATAAGTAGTGATCTGTGTGCCTCACATGTTGTCTTCAGCTTCCCATGTTCTTAGTCTCCTAACAACACAAACTCCAGACCCGCATCCATGAACGCTCTAATGTTCATTAACTAAATATGCCAAGCACCCAATGACCTCTTATTGCTATCGCACTAATATGGCTTTGCCATGTTGAGGTTTCGACCTACATAATATTAGGAACCGACTCAAAGAAGTAGAACCTAAATAGAGTATACTCTAGAATGAACAAAAGACTGATCCCTGTCTGCCCTGAACACCAATAATTAATACAAGATGGTGACACCCATCAGTTCAATATTACTGAGAACAAACCCACGTAAACTATCTCACTTATTTCCTCTGGGCAATTCTGGGAAAATGACATTATATGATAATGAATTAACGTTACAAATGCTGACCCATCTTAGATTACAAGTTAATGGAGCATGTTCTGTCCGCCAGGCTAACTCATGATGATAACTGGACAAGATGACGCATAATGAGTTGATTCTTCGTCAGGGCATCCTTTCATTTGAAGATGAATTCCAATTCATCAGATTCCTTCCTGAGACTTAAATACCCTACGCGTTTCATCAAACCTGTCGGCATGAGGTACCTGATGCTTTGCAATTGCTTTATTAACTCTCGTGTTTTTGAGGATATCACCATAATGCACCCATAGTTTGATAGTGCAGACTACTCATCACATGGCCCTGTATGATTTACGATGAACCATCCTGAGAGATGGGTAATTTTGAGCATCACGTGTCATCACTCTTGACACACACAACGTAATTTGTCATATAGTCTAAGGTAGCTGCATAAATGCAGATGTAGCTACGTATGTAAATAAAAACCAACAACTAGTAATGTAGGGAGTAGCGAAGATCAACACCAACACAACATCCAAATCAGAACTACGCGGTTCGAGTTCTAAGTATGTCGGGCAGCGAACATTAGCAACACCCGCAACGAAGCCCACGAAATTAGTTGTACACGAACACTATACAATAATGAACACTTTCGACAGAAGCACAACAGAAAAAACGTCACCACAGCAGCGGGAAGAATGTACACAAGATCACCGTGTCTAGGGTGTACACAAGGTCACCGTGTCTGGGGTGTACACAAGGTCACCGTGTCTGGGGTGTACATAAGGTCACCGTTTCTGGGGTGTACACATGGTCACCGTGTCTGGGGTGTACACAAGGTCACCGTGTCTGGGGTGTACACAAGGTCACCGTGTCTGGGGTGTACATAAGGTCATTACAACATAGGTGGTCACAATTACCTTGTATTAACAGTGACAAAATACACGCCGGAGAAGCGTCAACAATTTAGAGGCGCGGATTAACCAACATCAGTAGGCTTACCGTGATGTTGACACCAAGACCGCCCGTATCACCCACGCCACACAGGAGCATCACCTCATTAACATTCATAATTCGTAAGCCCATCATCAACTAAACAAATTGGATGTGGTGAGGCATGACATGTAAGAGATTATTCTCTCTCTCTCTCTCTCTCTCTCTCTCTCTCTCTCTCTCTCTCTCTCTCTCTCTCTCTCTCTCTCTCTCTCTCTCTCTCTCTCTCTCTCTCTCTCTCTCTCTCTCTCTCATATATATATATATATATATATATATATATATATATATATATATATATATATATATATATATATATATATATTCTTATAAAAATATGGAAGGGAGTACCACCTCTAGCTGGAAGAAGGGGGACCCATAGCCTCGGAGGAAACCACACATAACGCATTAGAGGGAATGTTTAGATCCCCTCCAATACAGTTTCTATGTGCTTTTCTCCTACCACCCCTTCCTTTTTTATATTTTGTGCTTTATTATGTATTTGATGGTTACAAGATATACATGGGTTGATACAAATATATATATATATATATATATATATATATATATATATATATATATATATATATATATATATATATATATATATATATATATATATACACGAAATTGTATATGTACATGGGATAGTACGAAATTGAATTTTAGGTTATGTATTATAATGGTTTTATTATGCAGTTTTAACAAAATTAAAATATATATAACATTTATATCTCCTCGCGACTAACGATTGGAAAACAATTTATGAAAATGAAAACTTTTATCTTCAATAAAGGCTTCTGACCTTAAGGTGGCAAATATAATGATGGCGGCTGAGGTACGGGGGGAGGAATTCCCCCTGAATATCCACCACCACCACCGCCTCCCAGAAAGTCACCACCGCCGCCTCCCACAATGCTACCACCTCCACCAAAGCCGCCACCGTTTCCATATCCACCACCACCACCGCCACCACCGCCACTGCCGCCAATCACTGTACCACCACCTTGGGCAGCAGAGCGGAGGGCAGACTGCAGGTCTTCTCCTGTGGGCAGCGAAGGGTTGTCTCCGTCACCATAGTTGACGAAGTATACGTCAGGACTCTCTTGTTCTGGTGCTGGTACTTGGATGATTTGCTGATTGTATGCGGGTCGCTTGCCGAGGACGTATAGTGTGTTTTTCTGTTGAGGTGGTGGCACGACAATGGGTTCAGGGCCTGGACCGCTTTCTGGGGCGCGAATGAACAAAATATTGTGTTCAACTGTTGGTGGAGGAATGTACGGTCGTGGACCAATGACCGGGGCCAAGTCGGGAGCACTGTACACAAACAAGTTGCGGGTGACCAGGGGAGTCACACAGCTGCCATCTACATGACGTACTTGTCCCCCACCACAGCCGCCCCCAGAACCGCCTGAGGTTCCGTAGCCATGAGGGGCGGCGTCCGCAGCGGCTACCAGCAACCACACTAATACCTGTGACGAGGTAAAGAAAATCGAATATAATAAAAAGCTAAGAATGCAATCACTTTTACTTTAAGTAAAACATTGAAGTTATTCCTATAAAGACACAAGACTTATCGTGAAAGATATCCTGTAGAGCGCCTCGAGGCCCTAGAGGCCTAGACTATCGTATAATTCAATTAAAATAGAAACGACAGGCATGTGGTATAAAAATATAATTAACTAAAACTAAAGAATAATGAAAAGGGAATATTATAATTAAAATGATTAAAATACATTTGCAATAGATAAAGTATCACCGAGAACTCAAACTCAAGTAACCTAGCCCTGATAGAATATTTAGAGGGGAAAGCACATTGCGATCCTCGGTGTGTACCAGCATATTAACACGTCGTGGGGCGAAGCATTGCATGGCTTTGCCACCCGTCCTCTCAAATAGTACATCACATATTGACGTCAAAATCCCCAATAGACAAACGACGTGGTACTACTCTAAATCATAGCGGGTCGCGGACAAATACATTTTCTATGCTTAGGCAATGGCAACGTTGTGGCAACCCAACAGGACAGGCGGGGCTTTGTTGGAAACGCTCAAGAAGAAGCTTATTTTTTCTTCAGTCTCACTTCAAAGTTTGAGAGGTCGTCCTCAAAGACTCATGCTCTTAGAAATATCCATTGCTTCGAACCCTTAAATCTTCGTCTCGTACTAAAAAGCAGATACACATTTTGGATTGGAATGTGCCTTTTTCCCTGAAGGTTGATGTCTGAAGAGGTTAAAGTTCCTAAGGCAACATATGCTTTTGAGTCGATGGAAGTCCCCGAAAGCAGAATTAAATGATAAGGTTCTTTAAGGGGCACATTCATAAATCTTACTGATAAATTTAGATTCTTTAAGAAATTTTCACAGTGCTGCAGTTGTCACTGCATAGTGGAGTTTTCTAAGGTTATGGCTGTCACTACATGTTAAGGACGTTTAGTTAAATTTTATAGTCTTTCAGGCCTAACAACCTCACGGAATATTGATGCAAAAACTGGCGTATGGAGCAGCCAACATATATACCATGACCAGACCACACACCAGAGGACGAAGAAACGACGACGTTTCGGTCCGTCCTGGACCACTATCAAATCCATTGATAATGGTCAATCATAAATACGTTAGTCTTGAGCGAAGATGAAATCTTTCAGCGAGGGGTATAATTCACCTCTCGGGATGTACCCCAGATTGTTTGGTGTGACCTCGACTACCTCATTCGAGAGTGTTAGCGGACACTGTCATGTTGGCATGTGAGTCTTAATCAGGTCTTCTGTTATCCATTCTTGCAACAAGTTAAAGTTTGGACGTAATGTTTCACGTTAGTATATAATGGTATCTTTTAAACGAACGTCCGTGATCGATGCAATTAAATATGTAACCATTAAATGGTAAATAATAGAACACGGTTAAAAGCTTCAGCTTTACTGTCTCAGGTTGTCCATAAGACAATGTTGGTATAATAACAAATAAAGTTGCGTTATATTTAGTCACTGCATCTGGACGTGTTAAGTGATATTCCGTACAGTTATTGAACTTCTTTGGTTGTCATACGTGGCCCAGTGGTAGTCGCTGCCACATATCAATCACTCTTACAGCCAGTTTCCCAACACTTTAGCAAACATTAGGCGTCACACATTCGACTCGCGCATCACCCCTGATCTACTAAGCGAGACTGGTTTACTGATATACCGGCGTGTGTAGCAGCACCACTGCACGAGGAACCACTCACCAGGAGCCTCATGGTGGAGTGTAATAACAGACTAAGCCATCTGGGTCTTATATACCTCCGTCTCCCACTTTTCCTCTCATGACCCGCTTTCATCCGTTGTCCTAAGTGGGTACCGTGTTCAGCCTCCACAAAGATGTCGTTCACACGCATGGTAAAAGTAATGTTTGTTTATATAATATTTAATCGGTCGCTGACACTGGTACCTTTACCGAGTACCTTCCTCTTTTTATTTTAACTGCATTGTGAAGAGGTGATAGAAGTCATACAGCCAGCTTTTGTTAGGCTACTATAGTGTTCCAGGGAAAACTAGTAAGGAAAGGTTTCCAATAAGTTATGAGAAGGGAAAGCTCAAAGTCTGCTAATATGAGTCAGAGGAAATCTGCTCCTGTATGCACCTGTGTACATAAAATAAAATAAATTAACTTTAAAAACAATATTTACTCGTGGTCTGGAATTTTGTGTTAACTTTGATACTTTGCTGCTGAACTGAAGCAGTTTTCTCTACTTTTCTCAACTCAATATCCGGAGTTACACCTTAGGGTTAGTTCATTATTTTTAATGTGTTCCTAGCCTGACAGGTGAGTGGACAGCACATCGGATTCGTTGTCCTGATGTTCCGGGTTCGATCCCCGGTGGAGGCGAAGACAAACGGGCAAAATGTTTCTTTCACCCTGATGTCCCTGTTACCTAGCAGTAAATAGGTACCAGGGAGTTAGTCAGATGCTACGGGCTGCTTCCTGGGGGTGTGTAACAAAAAGGAGGCATGGTCGAGGACCGGGCCGCGGGGACGCTAAGCCCCGAAATCATCTCAAGATAACCTCAAGAAGATAATACATATGTGAAGCCTAGCCGACAATACAGAAGAACGTTCCCTTAATATGGTTTTGAGTTACCCGCGAACCTCGCATTTTTATCTAGAAAATGGTAGCGGGTAATGGTCGCGAAATTGACATACTGCCCGTTTTGTTTTGGGTCCTCTGGAGGTTAGGTTATTACGACACTTTATTACGACAGTTTCTTGACGTTGGTAAACCATAGGAGGATGAGCTGAATCTCCGTCCCTGAAATGAAATAACTAACGATGCTTTAAAATCTAAATATAATGAAATATAATAATCAGTAAATATATTCCGATATAACAAAGTTCCTCAAATCCACATAACACCCAAAATATATAATTCATTAGTTTTAAAAAATAATGGCCCAACTAGGCTCCACTGCTTATTTAAACTTAAAGATATTGATGTCACATTTAATCTTTGATGATCAACAGTATATAATGTAATAATTAAGACACACGGATGATGTAATAAAGTTACGGCCTTATCAGGTGGAGGCGGCTTCGGTCTAGTGTAAATTATCTTCATTTTAGTATAGTCCATCTTCACTATTGTGTAGCCCATCTTTACTATTGTGTAGCCCATTTTCACTATTGTGTAGCCCATCTTCACTATTGTGTAGTCCATCTTCACTATTGTGTAGCCCATCTTCGCTATTGTGTAGCCCATCTTCACTATTGTGTAGACTGTAGACCATCTTGACTTTAGTGTACACCGTTTTCAGTTTAATGTAGACCGTCTTAGCTTAAGTGTAGACTGTCTTAGCTTCATTGAAGACCGGCGTCACCTTACTATAGACCATTTATCCATACGTCTCTTTTATGCAGGTTGGGCGAATATACAGGTCACTATATACAGGTCATAATATCACTGTACAGGTCACTATATACAGGTCACAATATCACTGTACAGGTCACTATATACAGGTCACAATACCACAATAATATCATGTAAAAGTTTAAAGAAAGTTTTTCCCTTACCTCGTGACCTCTCGTAACCAATAAAGTCGCCTCGAGCAATAATTAATGAAGTTTAAAAAATGATTTTAGCTAGGCCTATCACTAGATCGCTATCAAATAATATAAAATCTTAACTTAAAACACTAATATCTATTTAATGCCAAATTGGAGTGTCACAATTCTAGCCAAAACTCGTCGACTTGACTCAATAACAAATGGGAGACACTTATCAGGCTGACTCAAAGTTCGTGCTGTACACACCTGCTGCGAGGAGTGACGTCCACAGGTGATATTCTCCTGGATGTCTCCACACTGCCCTGGGGGAGTGACGTCCACAGGTGATGTTCTCCTGGATGTCTCCACACTGCCCTGGGGAAGTGACGTCCACAGGTGATGTTCTCCAGGATGTCTCCTCTACTTGCGGGTTTTCACTAATTTCCCTTGCGGGTCTCGTCTCAGCCAGAGGCGGCGAATACTCGGGCCGGCGCCTGGCCTAGTGCCAGACCCCCCGTCAGTGCAGGTCCCTGCGGCAATGAGTCTTGGGAGGTGTCCTGGTGTTGTGTTCATTCTGTGGTGCGAAAATGTCTCCCCGAGGGGACCGTCAGCATCCATCCCCCTTTGCTAGCGACCTGTAATAACCATCTCCTGATCTATGTGCTCCCGGGTATTAGGAACTGAGAAATATCGTGGAGGATATCTTAGAAACATGAACTGATCGTCTTTTATTATTCCAGTTACCCTCACGTTTAAGTTTAATTGTAAGTAACATGTCAACATTCCATGGTTACGTCTGCCCGCTACCACATTAACTAGTGATCTAGCTAAGTTCGTTAGCTAAGGTTTATCTGCAGTGTTATTCGTCCACAGCTTAGACTCGTTGTGATTGGTCTAGTGGTTAACCGGATGAGAACTTGATTGAGTGGGTTTAGAATTTAAACTTCTTTGAAATTTCAAGACTAGAGCAACTGTCGATGGCTTGCACTAAAACACGTAAATTAACAAGAATGTAGACATAAATCAAATCATCTCAAGATGGCGCCCAACACCAAAGAAGAAATCAGTATGTAAATATTTGATTTGATTGTTGCCGCCGAAAGCGTCTAGTTTATTGTGCACCCCATACTCATCCTGTGAGCGGTAGCGCAAAAAAGTATTACAGAGAGCACAAAAGGTCTTTACCAGACCTCAACGGAATACATAACCCAGCCCACATATGAAATTAACTAAAAATGAAATGTCCGAAATGTCCTCACTTCCATTTCAATGCATATGTACGGGGTTGGCTAATATTAATATATTTTCCGTCGCGTTATAGTGAATTATTATTTGAATACTGATATATTTACAAAGGCAGAATAAATACAACTTTATTATTTTACACAATTCCATCAATGTTGATTTGAGAAAAGTGTCTCGATCACACAGCAAGGCGGTTTGAGTCACTCTCCAGAGGGTGCTCGGCCGCACCGAGAGAGAGAGCCATGTTTCCTAATATACTGGAATCATGCCACTCTCACTGGTTGCCCAGACGTGGTTACTGAGCATCTCTGGAAGACTGATAGGCAATTGTTGTGGGACTCCCCGTGTAAACTTGTGTTGCTAATCTTTTATCAAATAGTTATGTCACTATCTGATAGAACTGGAGCAATTATGTCACCAACTGATATATATGGAACAATTATATCACCAACTGATAGATCTGGATCGGTGTGTTTACAAATACAAGAAAGTTTCAGACAAGCTGTCTAATGTAAAGCAACCGTTTGTGATAATAATAATATTCAGATGGAAGGTAAATATAATTCGGAATAATGCACAGATTTATTACACGAATTATAAAACAAAGCCTAATTACACCTTATAATTATCATGGTTTTGTTTAAAACTATTCAAAATATAATTTCATAATAAAGAAAGTTTTCATTTGCATAAAAGGACTATGGTTTCATGGCTGAGAATACAATGATGTCGGAGGGATCACGGAGGGAACAATGCCAGCTGAAAGTCCATTGTCGCCTCCAAATGTAACACCGCTGCTCACTAAACCAGCGTCACCACCTCTGGTGCCAACGCTGCCACCAGAACTTCCGCCACCGCTGACACCAAAACTTCCGTCGCCGTTGACACCAAAACTTCCACCACCGTTGACACCAACACTTCCGTCACCGTTGACACCAACACTTCCGTCACCGTTGACACCAACACTTCCGTCACCGTTAACACCAACACTTCCGTCACCATTGACACCAACACTTCCGTCACCGTTGACACCAACACTTCCGTCATCGTTGACACCAAAACTTCCACCACCGCTGCCACTAAAACTACTGCCGCCGTTCACAAAATCAGCTCCACCGCCAAAGCTTCCACCAAAGCCACCACCAATGACGTCACCGCCACCTTGGGCAGCAGAGCTGAGGGCAGACTGCAGGTCTCCACCGGTAGGCAGCGTCGGGTTGTCTCCTTCTCCATAGTTGACGAAGAACACTTGAGGACTTTCTTGTTCTGGTGCTGGTACGTGGATGACCTTCTGGTCGTGCACGGGTCGCCTGTTGAGGACGTACACAACGTTCTTCTGTTGAGGTGGTGGCACCACAATGGGTTCCTGGCCTGGACCGATCTCTGGGGTGCGGATGAATAAAATATTATGTGTAATTTTGGGCCGAGGAATGTATGGTGGTGGACGAACGATCGGAGAGACCGGAGGTGCACTGTACACATACAAGCTGCGGGTGACCTCAGGAGTCACACAGCTGCCGTCCACATGACGGATGTGCCCGTGACCACAGCCGCCGCCAGAGTAGCTAGATCCGCCTGAACTGACGGATGAGGACCTTAAGAATGCGGCGTCAACAGCGACTGCCAGCATACACGTCAGTATCTGCCATGAAATAAACACAACTTATTTGTTTTTGTATATATAACCATTTTATTTGCTCTACGAAAATTATACCTATTACTTATAATAAAATCTTAGACATTTGTGTATAGGTGAGTGAAATGACTCTCACTTTGAATTGTAGTGTCTTGATGTGAGGGTTTGGGGGAGGGGGATATGGTTGTCAGCCGAGATAAAGTTGTAACAGAAAATGCTTATTAAAGAGTGTAAGTGATGCAAAACTTTCTATTTACGATGTTCTGCATGCAAGTTGTGATCAATCTTATATTTAATTTACAATTGGGGGTTTCACTGATTCTTAGTATGATGTTAAATTGCCGTTAGCGAAATGATAATAAATTAAAGTGCATTCGAGATCTGATACATAGTATAAATACGGCCAATTGTTTTAATCTCTTAACTCTCTCTTCATTTTAATTATCAAACATGGGAACATGACCATAAATCTTATACAGACATAAGGCAACAGTCATTCAACTTACAATCTTCGATCTATTACGCAACAGACAGACTTATCGGCTATATAGGGACGCAGCAGCCTACTTCGGGGGTAACCACTTACCAAGAGCTTCATGGTTGGGAGTGACGACGACTCAGGCACCTGAGTCTTATATACCCCGAGTCTCCTTATCTTTCTTGTAAGTCTCGTTCTTACCACTTTCCTTAGAACTCCTTGGTCCTGTTCCCAGTCGGGCAGTGTGGTCAGCTGACCTCAATAATAAACATGTTCTCACTCACAGTCAACGTTATCCTGAAAACGAAATATTTTGAAGTTAACCGCAATTTATTTTGATCTTGAGAAAGATTCGCCATAAAGTAGGGCATTTGTGACCTCTTTCTGCTTGTTTAATTTAACATTTTTAGTTGGAAAACCTCATTCGACTGATCGCCGTTTTTTTTTTATATTTATTTAGGCAGCAATATAATTGATTTATATTTTACTGTTATCAATCACAATTTAATTAAGGCACGAATAGAATGTGAGGCTTTACGTAGTTATTTTTATTTTGTCGTCAGCTATGCCGGTTGATTTCCTTCGCGATGATAGGAAAATCCTCCTCCTCAGATGTCTGTAAAGTTTCCAGCCTGTGCCGATGATGAGTCACAATAACATGGCTGAAGATATGATGACCAAACCACCTATCAGAAAATGAAGAAATGTCGACGTCTCAGTTCGTCCTGGACCACTATCAAGTCGTGTAATGGAAGAGAGGATTAACTGATAAAGATTAAGCCACCGAAGAGGTGGCACAGGCATGAATAACCCGTAGTAGAGGCTCTTTGGAGCCATTACCAGTGCCAATAGCTGGACGAGGATGGACGGGCTCTTCAAGAAGGGAGGATTAATTGATGAAGATTAAGCCACGAAAATTGTGGTTGTTGTTGTTATAGATTCAGCTACTCGGAACAAGTTCCAAGTAGCACGGGCTATGGTGAGCCCGTAGTGGACTTACCTGGCACAGGAGCGGTGCTGTGAACGGAACTCCCCCCCCCCCCCCAAAAAAAAAAAAATCTAGGAAGAGAGGAAAATAAATAAGGTAAGAGAGTGAGATGAGTGGTGAGATAAAAAAAAAACATTAAAAAACGTTTTAACCTGTTACCATAAGCTTTATCAAGGTGATCACAAAGTACCTGGTCACTTACACATTGCAATTAATTACTCTGATCAGAAGTATTTAATTCCATTCTTTGTGGATTGGAAAACTTTCTGAGAGTTTTCTTGTATATAATTTACATTTAGATTATTCATTACATCCGAATATGCTTAGTGAAATGTGTATAAAATAATATCAGATAAGCAAATAAATAATATTATAAGCAATGATCGTCACTCAAATCACTTCCTCGAAATTAATTGAACCTTATTTTATTTTAAGGTTATTTTCTACCACAGACTTGGCCTTCCATATTTACAACGCTAACCAGTATATATACATTTCTTCTGTCCTCTAAGGACAAATTGGAGATCTGTTAGACAACATACTGAGCGCTCAACCACTGAAGGTGATTAAGTGTTCAGAAACCCACTTCACAGAGTATAGGAGAGCAGATCCCTAACTGTCCGTATCCATCTAAGACAGACGAGAATGTATATATATGTTGATTGCGATTGCAAAAGCACAGTAACCACCTGTGGTTGAGTGCTCAATAACTCTCTACACTATATGTTGTCTAACAGATCTCCAACCCTGTCCATGGAAAACAGAAGAAATGTAAATATGTTGGTTAGCACTGTAGATATGAATGGCCACGTCTGCGGTAGAAAATTAACCTAAAATAAAATTATATTTAATCCATTTCGTAATATTAAGTTGTGATTGTACTTAATAATATTCATACTCCCTAGTGTACCTCCCTTAACTCAAACGTGTCACCAAAACTATACTTCGAGGTTCGCTAGGCTGCGCGTCCCCTTCAAATTATAAGTTAATCTGTTTATATTCATAATATCAAGACTATTGCGCCACCATGTTCACGCACCTGTACGTTCACCAGTAACGTTGGTTATCTTGACTGTGTCCCAGCACTGTCACGTCCTGTTCACTGCTCATTCCTGAGTCCCCAGAGATGTTAGTGACACCGCCACTTACTCGCGAATTGCACTAACTTATTGATTTGTCCATTTACCGCTAATGTTAAGTCATGAACATTCTTAACAACAAGCCTATTCCTTATGTTGTCCGTCGCCATGGAGCCGACTGCAACTTTCAGCTTTCCCTAGGACCAGAGCAGACCTGGTGACTTCCTGCCAACCACACCTCTTAGCAGTACATTTCTGTTCCCTTGACACAACCAAATCTCAATCCCGACGAAAGTTAAACCCCCATTTGTGGCCCAACATGGCGTCACTCATCCTCCTCCTCATTGGACAAGCACGCCATCATGGTAGTGGAATTAGATACTCAGGTCTCAATTTTTTTAAATGCCAAATCACATCCCTGAGACCAAAGAGGCGCGGCTACACTCATCCTAACATGCACAGCATATTAAATAACCTGCAGCCATGTGACCGTCAGTGCAATAATAATACCACTTGCTTCTGGGGAACAACCAATTTTACCATAGTGTTTGTGGACCCGAATGTCCACGTGACGTGACTGTGGCAGAGAGAGTCCATCCATCTTCATAAGTACTCTCTGTGTGAGTACATTCGGCTCCAGAAGTACTCTGTGTGAGTACACCGGCTCCAGTAGTACTCTGTGTGTGAGTACATCCGGCTCCAGAAGTACTGTGTGTGTGTGAGTACACCGGCTCCTGTAGTACTCTATGTGTGTGTGAGTATATCCAGCTCCAGTAGTACTCTGTAATTTCATCCAGCGCCCGTTGCACTCTCTCTGCGTGAGTACATCCAGCTCCTACTCCATGCAAGTAGGTTCATCAGAAATTGATCTACATTATTATAGTTGTTCGTTAACACTAAGTGTGCTCATCCAACACCTGAGGGTCCACGAGTAACGTTCAACACCTGCGGATCCACAAGTAACGTTCAACATCTGAGAGTTCACAAGTAACGTTCAAGACCTGAGGGTCCACGAGTAACGTTCAACGTCTGCTGCATGAGTAGCAGCTTCTCATGCATTTCAACCTTCCCTGGCTTTGCGCCCTGGAGAGGCCACTCCAGACCGACAACCTGAGCGCAACTCCATAGTCTGATGGATGCCTACTACTACTACTACTACTGTACTACCAAATATACCCGAATTCTTAATTGTAGTTTATACACTCTTATTAGTTCCGTGGAGACAATTTGTTCCTTGGAGACGGATAGTACTGCTGCTTCTGGTGGCTTTGGAGGTGTAAATGAGACACCTTTAAGCAAAGCGTCCTTGAATATATTTAAGCCAATACCGATCAACTGCTTGTCAATGTAATACTTATTTTACAAGGTAAATCAAATCAGAAATAATGTCAACATTCATTTAATGCAAATATAAGTGGCTAAAGTTTGTCGACTGAAAAAGTCTTGGAACCGTTGCAAAACAAAATTGACGGTAAATATAAAACAATATCTGGGGTTCCTCTAAGTAACAATAACATTAGAATCAACAATTTTTTTAGTCTTAAAAATCATGATTCTATGGAGGTAAATACAAAGAAGACGGCTGAGGAACGGAGGGAGCAATACCTCCTGAAGCACCATAGCCACCACCGAACCCAGCGTCTCCACCAAAGCCACTGCCGCCGCCACTCACAAAGCCAGCTCCACCATCAAAGCCACCGCCGCTTCCAAGACCGCCGTCTCCACCAAAGCCGCCGCCGAAGCCACCAATCACATTGCCGCTACCTTGGGCAGCAGAGCTGAGGGCTGACTGGAGGTCCTCTCCAGTGGGCAGAGTCGGGTTCTCGCCTTCACCATAATTAACGAAGAACACTTCAGGACTTGCTTGCTCTGGTGCAGGTACGTGGATGACCTTCTGGTCCTGTACGGGTCGCCTGTTGAGGACGTATACGACATGTTTCTGTTGAGGTGGTGGCACTACAATGGGTTCCGGGCCTGTGCCTGTTTCTGGGGTGCGGATGAACACAATATTGTGTTCAACTCTTGGCAAAGGAATGTATGGTCGTGGACCAACGATCGGAGACACTGGAGGAGCACTGTACAAATACAAGTTACGAGTGACCTCGGGAGTAACACAGCTGCCGTCCACATGACGGATTTGTCCATGGCCACAGCCGCCGCCAGAGTATCCAGTCCCACCCGAGGAGATTCCTGAACTGCCTGATAATCCTCCTAACCCAGCAGAGAATGCTGGACCAGAGGGCGTGTCTAGGTTATATCCCTGAGGGGCGGCGTCAGCAGCGGCTGCCAGCACACATGTCAGTATCTGGGGTGAAATATAAACACAATTATCATTAAAACAAATAATAAATTACTCATTACACACAGAAATCACAATAGCGTGATGCATCAAATTAACAAATCCACAAGGGCCGTGGTTCGAACTCTCATCACGGCCCTTGTGGATTTGGTCAATAAATTACTCATATAAGCATAGAAGAATACAATGACAAATTTGTATTTAGGTGACAACTACTAATTTCATTGCTAAGTTTTGCGAGGCTTGCATATACGGTTGCCCCAAATGAGGTTCTAGCCTACGCTTCACTAAATGGTGTGGGTGACTCTTGGCTTCGGCTGTACTCTTATAGATAGGTAAACCTATGCTATGGATGTGACTGTAAAGTGCTGGAATACCTAGGTTATAGTTGAAAGTGCATGGTACAGATGTCCCAGGTTACCTCTGCCACTGTGAGTGTCCCTTGGTTTCGGTTGCAATCTCCTAGTGTGAGTGCCTCTGTTATGGTTGACGTTGAATATGCGAGTGTTTTTAAGCTATGGTTGCCACTCAGTAAATCTGGGTGTATCTTGTTCCAGCGAACTGTTTACTTAGGGGTGTTTGTTAAAGAGAGACTTCCATGTAGGATGGTGTGTATGAAAGCCTCGTGAGCAATCTCTCACATTTTACTTTCTTAATATTGACAGAGGCCCTTTGAATTTTCTGTGACGCAGACAGTGCTATATAGCAATACTAACTTTCTTTTGAAAATAACTTTTTTAGTGAAAGACAGTGTTGGGATGCAGTGATTTCAATTTGATATAGAGATGCTCTTACGAAATGAGATAAATTACTAACTATAAATGCGTTAGGTCTCTGATTCAATTGCGTAATGTCTTTTGTGTAAGTGAATAAGGGACCGACATGCCAATATTGCACTTTTGCTTTGCTGATATTGTCAGCTAAACTAAAGTTTTAGAAATAATGCTTTCTTAAATCAGCTCGGTTGGTATGGCAAAGTTAAGTCTTGGGGCCAAGCGCTGCAGGCCCGTTGGTCATTGAACGCTAAGTGGCCATAGCTGGTAGTCATCCAAGCAGAGCTGGAATGCTTAACTTAAACAATCACCTGATTTGTGGGTCAATAACAGCGACGACTTCATATACTTCACTCTTACTACATGTTTTCAATTAAACGCCGGTTCACATATACGTCACTCAATCATCTGTTACTATCTTTCCTTGATCTAAAGCGAAAGAGACTTTTGCTAATACATTGCACAGTATAGGAGCACCGCTGGAGGAACCACTCACCAGGAACTTCATGATGGAGTGTGATAACTGACCAAGCCAACTGGGTCTTATATACCTCAGTTTCTCTCACGTTCTCGTAAGCTTCGCTACCATCACTTTCCTGAGGGTTCCTGCCTCCCTGGTCTTGTTTCTCAGTAGGACTCGGTGGTCAGCTGCCCTCAGAAATAAACATACTGTTTACAGTCATATAAAATGTATTTTGTATATATACATTCATATAATATTTGTAAATAATTCACACAACATAATAATCTTTCCGGTCATGCAACTTACATGGTCAGTCGATTCACGACAGAATGATACCGGGTTCGATTTCTGTGTAGGCCGAAACGGTCGTGCACCTGCACCTGTACCATGTACCTGATACTTCTGTTCATCCCAAGAGTAAATTGATAACCTGGAATTTGATAACTGTTACGGATTGCATCCTTAGGAAGGTTTGTCGTTGACTAAGTTAATGGTTTTCAACCTGTGGCAGGCGTGCCATGGTATGAAAACCTAATCTATTGTTTTAGTCCCTAAATTAGGTTAGGTTCTGAGCCTACGATAGGGACGTAGCCTAACAGGTTACCTGCTCCCCGACTATGGGAACTGAGCATCAATTTACTGCTGGTCCCGAAGCAAGAATTAGCCTTCCTTCAATGTTGATTGAGCTTCTAAAAACATCTTAATAATCTTCTGTGGTAGCTTATAATAACTCACTAGTTTCTTATACGTTTCTTATAAGAAACTCGAAACTCACTAGGTTCGGCAGTCTTACCCTGTCAAAGTAGGATAAACAAACATATATATATATATATATATATATATATATATATATATATATATATATATATATATATATATATATATATATATATATATATATATATATATATATATATATATATATATATATATATATATATATATATATATGTCATGCTGGTTATCATTGTAAAAGCACTTCAATCACCTGTGGTTGAGTGCTCAATAACTCACTACACAATATGTAGGAGAACAGAGCTCAATCTCTAACCAAAAAAATGTATATATGCTGGCTACCATTGTAAATGTGTGGCCTCGTCTGTGGTAGAAAATAAACTAAAAAAAATGTTGCTGAGAGAGAAATGTGGCTATGGTGTACATATTTAAATTATGAATAGTGTTCTCATGTTCTATAATGTTCATGTTCTGTTATTGTGTTCAGTGCTCATGTTATATGATGAATTAGTGTACTAATAATTCTGACAACATGTCCATTACACATTCCTCTGACAACACCACTACAAATACCTGTGACAACACCACCACAAATACCTGTGACAACACCACCACCAGAAACACCTGTGACAACACCACCACCACAAACACCTGTGACAACACCACCACAAATACCTGTGACAACACCACCACCAGAAACACCTGTGACAACACCACCACCACAAACACCTGTGACAACACCACCACAAATACCTGTGACAACACCGCTACAAAAATACCTGTGACAACACCACTACAAATACCTGTGACAACACCACCACAAACACCTGTGACAACACCACCACCACAAACACCTGTGACACCACCACCACAAATACCTGTGACAACACCACCACAAATACCTGTGACAACACCACCACCACAAACACCTGTGACAACACCACCACAAATACCTGTGACAACACCACCACCACAAACACCTGTGACAACACCACCACCACAAACACCTGTGACAACACCACCACAAATACCTGTGACAACACCACCACCACAAACACCTGTGACAACACCACCACCACAAACACCTGTGACAACACCACCACAAATACCTGTGACAACACCACCACAAATACCTGTGACAACACCACCACAAATACCTGTGACAACACCACTACAAATACCTGTGACAACACCACCACAAATACCTGTGACAACACCACCACAAACACCTGTGACAACACCACCACAAATACCTGTGACAACACCACCACAAATACCTGTGACAACACCACTACAAATACCTGTGACAACACCACTACAAATACCTGTGACAACACGACCACAAACACCTGTGACAACACCACCACCACAAACACCTGTGACACCACCACCACAAATACCTGTGACAACACCACCACAAATACCTGTGACAACACCACCACCACAAACACCTGTGACAACACCACCACAAATACCTGTGACAACACCACCACCACAAACACCTGTGACAACACCACCACCACAAACACCTGTGACAACACCACCACAAATACCTGTGACAACACCACCACCACAAACACCTGTGACAACACCACCACCACAAACACCTGTGACAACACCACCACAAATACCTGTGACAACACCACCACCACAAACACCTGTGACAACACCACCACCACAAACACCTGTGACAACACCACCACAAATACCTGTGACAACACCACCACCACAAACACCTGTGACAACACCACCACCACAAACACCTGTGACAACACCACCACAAATACCTGTGACAACACCACCACAAATACCTGTGACAACACCACCACAAATACCTGTGACAACACCACTACAAATACCTGTGACAACACCACCACAAATACCTGTGACAACACCACCACAAACACCTGTGACAACACCACCACAAATACCTGTGACAACACCACCACAAATACCTGTGACAACACCACTACAAATACCTGTGACAACACCACTACAAATACCTGTGACAACACGACCACAAACACCTGTGACAACACCACCACCACAAACACCTGTGACACCACCACCACAAATACCTGTGACAACACCACCACAAATACCTGTGACAACACCACCACCACAAACACCTGTGACAACACCACCACAAATACCTGTGACAACACCACCACCACAAACACCTGTGACAACACCACCACCACAAACACCTGTGACAACACCACCACAAATACCTGTGACAACACCACCACCACAAACACCTGTGACAACACCACCACCACAAACACCTGTGACAACACCACCACAAATACCTGTGACAACACCACCACAAATACCTGTGACAACACCACCACAAATACCTGTGACAACACCACTACAAATACCTGTGACAACACCACCACAAATACCTGTGACAACACCACCACAAACACCTGTGACAACACCACCACCACAAACACCTGTGACAACACCACCACAAATACCTGTGACAACACCACCACAAATACCTGTGACAACACCACCACAAATACCTGTGACAACACCACCACCACAAACACCTGTGACAACACCACCACCACAAACACCTGTGACAACACCACCACAAATACCTGTGACAACACCACCACCACAAACACCTGTGACAACACCACCACCACAAACACCTGTGACAACACCACCACAAATGCCTGTGACAACACCACCACAAATACCTGTGACAACACCACCACAAATACCTGTGACAACACCACTACAAATACCTGTGACAACACCACCACAAATACCTGTGACAACACCACCACAAACACCTGTGACAACACCACCACAAATACCTGTGACAACACCACCACAAATACCTGTGACAACACCACCACAAATACCTGTGACACCACCACCACAAATACCTGTGACAACACCACCACAAATACCTGTGACAACACCACCACAAATACCTGTGACAACACCACCACAAATACCTGTGACAACACCACTACAAATACCTGTGACAACACCACCACAAATACCTGTGACAACACCACAAACACCTGTGACAACACCACCACAAATACCTGTGACACCACCGTGCAACTTTCCGAAGATGATATTGTTACGTGACTAAGCAGTTGTGGTCACTTATATGACTTTCATTTTATACTCAAATTGGGAACCTTTTCTGCCAGATCGTAACTTTTTTACCTTAATAAATATCACCAGTATAATGTTGTACTTTTCCCACATATTTGCGTTAGTTAAGATAA